TTACCATCCAGGTTTCTTTTATGCCTGTTTTTCCCTTTAATACGTTTCACTAGGTTTGAGATGCTCAACAAGTATTTTAAATACGGCATGTCAGAGTTTATTAAGAAAATAAGACTATCAAATCCTATATGGATATCCTAACTACTATATAACCTTTAGGTTACATATGTAATTTTACCTTCCAAAATGTTGTAATAACTTCCCTCTGTTTTCCTCAATGGCTTCGAGAAATACATTTGATCAACAAGAAGTTTGTCCAGCTTTTCTGGGCCGTTAAAGGAATAAAGTGCAATTTTAATGTGAATGCTACTATGCTTGGTGCTCTATGACGTGTAGAAAATAATTCTAAAGTTTTAGGAGTTTCTTTCAAAATAAAGGGGGGGAATCCTCATTTTCTTTTCCTTTAAATTTTCATATATGAGTTTCCAAATGATATACAATATTTTTAATAATTTAAAGTTATGTATAAGTAACTTAGTAAACTACTTTAAGTCTTCTGTTACACTTTCATCAAACAGTGTAATTGCGTACTAGGGATGTGGAATACCAGTGAAATGCGATTTTAATTATTCCTATAATTTAAGGGAAAGTTTCTTGTTTGAGCTCTTAGAGTTTCTGTGGAAGGCTGTTGACTGTTTTGAGTATCGTCAGACTTCCTATTTAAAAGATGAAACCCCTTTCAACTACAAAATGCATGTATATCTTAAATGCAGCATGCTGTTAAAACAATACTAAGTTTGCAAAGTATACAATATTACATGTTAGATTTTTTATTTGTTCCTTTCTTTATGTGCATTTTGTAGTTTTTTAACCCCAGATAATCCTTTGTCCTGAGATCCATACTGTTCAAGCAGCTATTCAGTAATTCTTTTTATCCTTGAATTCTATCTTGCCTAGTTTCAGGCATTATTTAATGCATCCTTGCACAAATACAAAGTATGTGTCACTCTAACTACTTCTCAAAGCTCCCTGAATTCTCTTTCATAATAAAGCTGAGCAAGTTGGTGTGGTGGTACTCTCACTTGGAGCTGAGGGCCAAGGTGTAGAGGGAGCGCAGAGTTGTTTAAATGTGAGTTTTGCAGAAACATAGAAGATCTCAGGGCTTTGTGAAAATACTGCAAATACAAAAATTTACAGGCTGGTAGAAGAGAAGGAACCTCCCCTGAAAATTAAAGCCTTGGTTAAGCTTTGAAGAATTGAAAATACAGTCCTTACCCGGATTGAAAACTGTTCTAACAGAATCTGTGCACAGCTAAATCCGGCTGGATTTTTGTAAGCCATGAGTGGCCATATATTTACTTACAGAACTATTACATGCTTTATAAAAGAATGTGGTTTTCTCCCCCTTAAGAAATGTTCTTGCTAATACGTTTTTAAAAATGCATTTTAATTGAATTTTCAATTCAGAAGAGTTAAGACTTGTATTTGACTTTCGTAGTCTCTCTGCTCATGTTTTTTAAACCCTAGAATGCAGGTTATGATATCATGGTCAGTTTAGGCTGAACCAGGACAATGTTGCCACTGAAAGGGGTTGTTACTTCTGTATTCCATTTGCATGCCTTGTGCCAGGCTGAGTTACTCCCGTGGCTTTACAGACAGAGTAGGATCAGGAAACTGATGTAAGTCAGAACCAAGTGAAAAATAAACAGAATGATTTTCTCAGTAGACTTGATGTGTGTCAACACAAGCAGCTAAGTCAGCACAGTGGAAGGAACAGAAATAGGAGGTGGAGGAGGATTGGTCCTCTTGGTGTCAGCCTGAGGACTTGCAGATCATTTGAAGGCAGTGGAAGGAATTCTGTTGTAACTGGGGAGGGTGGAGTGTGGGATGAAAAGGTGAATACAAATTTGTTGTGTGCCATTTTGTTTCCCATTTTTTGTGCTTCAGTCTTAAGTCATCAGTATATTTACAAATGGTATCAAATCTATCTCTCCTGAGAACTCATTTCAAAGGAAATGAGTATTTAAGGATTGTGAAAGTTGTGTTATGTAGATACAATTTTTGGAGTATTTGTCTTGTGTGTGGAACCGAAGTTCATCGGCCCTGAGGGCAATTTGTTTGCTTTGTGCTTTTATCGACCCTGAGATTTACTGCTTTTTAAAAAAGGAGGTGTGTTAATTCATAAGGCTCATAGTCATGCAGGGTATCAGGTTTGACACTTGTCCTTTCTCAGTTCAAGACTGAAGGAAGCAAGTTGATTAATTTCTAGAGCAGAGTTTTGGTGATCTGATTCTGGGTTTTGTATTGAAGGTCTTGATGACTAAGTATACCTCAAGTCTAAATTGATTTTCTGTGTTTCTAAAGAGTGAGCTCTTAACTTCTGCATAGCTAACTTCTGCTATGTTTTAGCCATGTGATGGTTACAGTGAGAAAGAATAATAAATCCCAAAATCAGTCAAACATGTATACAAACAATTACAGAAAGCAATTCTGATAAAAGAAGTCAGATAATATTGACAAAAATGTCAGGGCCTTAACTGCATAGTGTGTTCTTGTGTGGTAACCTTTCTGCTCAACCTATTGGACTCTGTAAAGATTGTTATAAACACTATTGTATAGAAAAGCGGGTTTTGGGCTCTTTTTGTAAAGCAAATCTTTAGGGGTTTATTATATTTTTTTAGGTTTTATTTTTATATCATTATTCTGTACTAGATTAATTCTCAAGATCATGTAGCTCATTAAGTTGTCTGATTGAAAAGTATGAGATCTGGGCAATACTGTCAAGTATGGAGACTTGATTCTGTGTGGCCAGGTACTCCAGAAGCGTTTCCATAAGGAAAAAGTTGGGCTGTGAGCATTTAGGAAGCAGATGCCTCCCTCTGTGTAGGTTACAATTAGATTATTTTCCTCTCTGAGGTTGCATTAAGGGTCAACAATTGCAGCTAAGATTTGTCAAACAGTTACAAAAGGGTGCTGGCCAATGGAAGATAAGTAAAGAGGAGAAGCCCAACACTTACAGAAGACCTTAATTTTGGAAAGAGTTGAGAACTGCATTCAAGTCAAAGGGCATAGGAGCTTTCATAACCCTCGTTAGAGAACTACCAGAGTAGTTCTGAGTTTATTTTTGTGGATGGAGTCTGTGGGCAGCCAGTAATTCCCAAGTGTTTGTAGTATGCTGATGTGCAAAAGTGCAGATAACATTTTTTTAAAAAAACCCCACGTTTGTAACTCTTATATGTGCCGTGGAACAATTGTGCATTGACTAGTGAAAATTGGGATAGTATCTTAGACTTGTGAAATTGGTCAGTTGCTGCCCTAGGTACTAGAGGAGTGGAAATTATGGGTAATTGTAGTTTTCTCTAGAAGGCTGTTAACTTTCTTTTTGATTAGAATAAATTTTGGAGTATGTTTTGGAATCTAGCATAGTTGCAGTTGAGTATAGTTGGGTTTGTTTGGTTTGCTGATTCTGGATCTTGTTCTCTACCTTTTATCTTTACATATCTGTGCAAACAGTACAGTCTGTTTGGGTATATTTGTGGTTTTTTGGTGTTGAGTTGGTGTTGTTTCCTCCCCAGTCCCTCCTCTGTTGCAATACACTTTGGTTCCTTACTTTTTCTCACCAAGTGCCTGTGGTTGAGTGCTTTCATGACAGACTTTTAATTGCAATACTCTTAACTGCCTTGTTCTCACTAGGATTTTAATTGATTAAATCAGGAGTTAACTTATGCAAAGTAAAGAAACATGTTTGAATTTGGTTCACCGTTGAGCACAAGGCCAGAGTGGCTAAAATCAGGGCTGATCTGTGAAGTCTTACACGGCGATATCACTTGGGCTCAGAAAAGGAGCCGTGCAGAATGCATGAGTGCTATCACCCTGGTTAGCCTGTTTCAGGCTGTAACCACTGAGAAATTAAAATGTGCAACCACGCCCTTTACAAAAATCTTCTCAGATAGATTGGGTGCCAATTGTAGCACTTCCTCCCTCTTCCCCATGCCTGCTGTGGTAATGAAATGGTGCTGTTCTTGAGCTCAGTAGAGCAGTGTGGTCTCTACTCCTTAGTCTAAATCCCTTTTCCAAGAAATTTTATGTTGGATCTAGCACTCAATTAGCTATTCAATGACTTCAGTCAATTTAAAATCATAGAGAGGACAAATGAGTTTGTAATGATGTTTCTGTGATGATGGCAAATCCACTAATGTCATTAACTGTTTAAATCTTGTGTTTCCATCTGCTAATTCACTTGTCTTCCCTAGGATTTTGGCTTGCAAAAATCAAAACACAAGTCCTTTCACTTTGTAGTGAAGAGACTACTTTTTTCCTCGACAAACTTACTATGTTTATTTTTCAACTATAATTTTTTGCGCTAGTTGAGATGGCTTATACGTTCTGCTGAATTTGTTATCTTCTACTAGGTTAGCAGGCAAGTAGGAGTTTTCCTTGCTTCTTTTTATGTTAGGTGGGTAGTATGACTGATGCTTTGAAAAAAAGAAATCATTATTTTTCTTCATATAGAGCAGCACACTAAACCCAATTGTCCCTTGATAGTCTAAAATTCAGCTGTTTTCAGTATTAAATAAAATGTGAATCCATAAAATAGTTGTTTCCTGTATAATGGATTTATAAATTCTGTATTTGAATTTAGGTAATCATTTTTTAATCTGTTCAGTATGGTGGCATTAAAAGGTGAATTGCTAATTGCAGTGTACCTAATTTAATATGGCTTTTGGTTTGGAAGAAAATGTATAATAGAACTTATGCTGAAAATGCTCCAAGGACACAAGTGTTGTATATATCAAAATGTTTCATATGATTGCCATTTGTGCCTTCTTGTGGAGTTACTACACAGGCTGTAATACCATTTCATCTTGAAAAGAAAATAATTCTCAGTCTAGGGTCGAAATACTTCTGTTGTTATTGATTTGCTGAAATAATTAATAAAATGCAGTTTTTTCTTTTTCTTTCTTCCATCTTATATTCTTCCTTGTGTGACAGACTTTGTTGCTTTATTTTGGGTACCAAAGGGAATAAAATATTTTTTTGCTTTTTTTGTGTGTTTTCAGGCTCGGATAGCGTTTTTACAAGGGGAAAGAAAGGGCCAAGAAAATTTGAAGAAAGATTTAGTGAGAAGAATAAAAATGTTGGAATATGCATTAAAACAAGAAAGGTAGGTATACAAACGGTTTAGTTTTTTTCTGACCTGAAAAACTTAGTAGACTAACATGAATTCCCTTCCATTAAGTGAAATGCCTTATTAGATTATTGTGATTTACTTTATGTAAACTTATCTTTAAGTTGATTGTCTTCACCTTGTGTTTTCTAACAACTTATTGTCTTTTAAAATAAAAAGACATAAAGAATAATTTGCAAAATGTTTGGACTTCTATCTTAAATAGACAAACGGGACAGTTTCTCCTCTGGGTTCAACGTATGGTATACTGAGTAAGAGTGAACATACCCAAAGGGTTCATACCTTATTACTATACCTTCATCTGTGCTTCAGTTGTATTAAATTGGAAAGGATGAAAAATACTGCTCTCTTGTTCCTTTTCAACTATGTTGTATGTGTTGCATGATGAAAACTATTTTGTGCAGGACCAAAACCCTTTAAAAATTGATTTTTCATTTTGTAGGTTTTTTTTTTTTTTTTTTTTTAATGTGGTAGATGCTTGCATATTTAGCCTCACCAGGTGTGTTTTCTGTAGCACTAATTTCCTGCTTAAAAAAATTAAAATTCCATTCAGTCTGTACAGGCTAATGTCCTTCAAACCTACCTTCTTTTGTTGCCTGGTTATTTCATTTAACCAAAACGGGTAGTTAGTTTTGTGAAATCACTTGGGAAATAATCTTGTCAAGTGCCTATACTTTCACTAGAGGACTCAGTTCTTATTTTTAATTTTAACTTGCTTCTAAAAAGTAGCTGAGTCCAATGGTGAAACATCTTGACAATCAGGCAACAAAATATGTAGTTTTTATTTGTGTACTTTGGTTTTGGGGGAACATTCCTGTCAGAGTAAACTTAAAATTTTGTAGCAAAATTTGGTGAGATTTCACCTGGATATTTTTAAGTTAGTTGTCCAAGCGTAAGTATGTCTAAATATATTTTACATTATGGATCAGTGTTATCAGTAAGGGACTAGTACAGAAATAAGTTTCAGTTGTTTTCCTATTAAAAGCTAATGTTTTGGCAAGATAGCTTTGTTCTTCTGTGTGAACTGTCCAGTATAGAGGTGCTTCAGAAAACATTGTATATTCATGCAGAAAGCTACATCAGCACATCATATATTTTCTGGTGAAGTAATGGGCATAAAGGATCTATTACTTCATTCAGCCCTGTCCTTTTAATGAAAAGTAACTCAAGGTTTCCAGCCAGTGTATGGTTAAAAGTTGCATTGTCATATCAATATCTTCAGGTAATGTACAAGTCACTCTGGGTTCAAGGCAGATGAAAGGTATGCAGGGTCTTGGGGTGTAACTAACACCCCATTTCAAAGAAATAATATGCTATTATGGCAGCTGCAGGTGTCTTGCATGTAAGTAACTTTCTGAAGTTGAAGGAAAAGGTTTTGCGTATTTTGGCAGGAATGAACTGTGTGCTGTGTAGGGACTTTCTGCAAATGTACACCATAAAGCAGTGAGCATTGCCCACTTATTGAGATAAATCAGAGGCACTTCATATCACCTGCAGTGTGAAGGCATCCTGTAACAGGATGCACAATTTCAAGTTGAATGGCATTGGTGAAACCTCATTCCTTTCCTGAAATGAAGCTGCCCTTATAGTCTTCCCACAAAATTCTGACATTCGTTTGATGGCTAAGAAGCTTGTAAACATGTACACCAGAAGAATAACAGCAGGAACATACTATTTGCTTTAGTTCTTGTGGCTAGTGGGTGCAATCCTCCACTGTAGCAGGTTTCAAGAGGAAGATCCTGGCATAAGTTTCAGCCATAATTCTCATGAAGATTGCTAGAAGTGGGAATTGAAACTTGAGTTGACTGGTGAATGTGTGGGAGGCAACAAGGAAGCTACAAATGCTCAGTAGTTTGAAGGGATCTAACTGTGAAAGTATGATGGATTGAGTAATTGAAAGCAGGCAGGTACTGACTTGCCAGTAAATCATCCCAGAATTATGTTATGTTGGTTTCTTGCTTGTTGCACTTGGTATTCAGGATAATGGACGTTATTTTTTTGTCATTGTTCCCCTGAAGAATCACAACTAAAGAAAATACTCCAGCTTCAAAGCAAAATAAATTCTGAGAATTTCAGACCTGAAGATTGTTGACAGCAAATCTCAGTGCTGCACCTGATTCCCCCGACCCTTTTTCTTCTTTTCTTGTTGCTAATTCCCTGATGCCATCAAAAGGTTTCATGCAGTGAAATATCAGTTAGGAGTCAGGAAACTCAAACTTATGCAGACAACTGTTGTGATTTCTCAGGAAAAGCTTATGAGGCAGAACGTCAGTGTGTAAGATTAAGTAAAACGCAGTAGTTGTTACAAAGTAGTTTGATATTTCTAGTATTTATCTCTAAGTATGTGTAATACTGTTTTAGACAAGTAAAATGTTATTATTTTAGTGTCCTTAAATGCTTTGATAGTTTATAATTTTTTAGTAATAAAATTAGGTCCTATGCAGTTACATGCACGTGGTTTCTTGGTTTGTATCTAGTGTGTATTCTTTTATGGTGCTTTGCAGACCCGGGCAGATGTTGTTGGCTGTGTGCTCTGAGCTTTGTTAGCATAGTGTTGTGCTTAAATTGAGACTTGCTGAAATCATAAAGCTGTGGCTCTGTTTTGGCTTTGTGGGCTTTGGACTGGAGCTAATTTACACCCTTCCAACTGAGTGCTGTGATTCAACAGTTAAATAGCAAGAAGCAGTTAAATCAAGTTAGATGTTGTTTCTTCTGCTCTTTTTTACTCATGGAAACCTAGCCTTAGATAAGTCAATACTCCAAAGATTGAAACATTGTCCCTTGTAGAATTCAGTTACTCTGTGGTGTGGAGGAGTATTGTCAGTGACTTGTCAATGACATTGTAGCTTGTTAGTGTTTTTTAAGATATTTAGTAATGCCCCCATCAGGGAAAGGAATAGATATGCAAATACATAGTTGATTGGAATTTAATAAGGTTAAATTTTTGCTGTGAAATTGAAGTTGTGATTTGAAAGACAACTGGTCTCATTGCATGCAGCAATATTTTCTCTTATTTGTAGTGGCTAGTCATTGGTATAATTCTAGATCAGATACGTTGTTATCTGTGCTAATGAACAGTTAAAGTAGAATTTTAATTAATGTTTTGAAATTGTAACTCCAAAATGGAACAACTGCTCCTAAATAGTATGTCACAGCTCTAAATTGAAGAAATTTAGGTTGGATTTTCAATTATCGTGCTTTATTGGCTTCACTTATGAATTGAGTTAAAATTATTTTGTCAACTTTATTTGACTTGAATTATTTTCATTTTAGTTATTTAGGGTTGCTGGGGTTTTTTACCCCCCCAATGGACAGTACCTCATAGGGCGTATAAATTGTAGTATGTGCTTGTAAAATCCCAGACTAGGCTTGACAAGTTTCTTAAAGGGGTTTAGGTTTTTTAAATATCCTGAGGCAGGTGCATGAGAAAATGTGATAAAGTTCTCGGGAGATTGAACAGCAAGGTTTAGAAAATAAGGGCAAATTTTAAACCAAACATTTGATCAAGAAAAAACATTTCACAAGGGATTAACTTAGCAAACTGTAGCCCATCCAACTTCAAGTTAACCAGACATGCTTCAGTTGTCTTGAGCCAATAATCATTTTCTCCGATCCCTCACTGTACGTCTCATATTTGGGAAGCTTGGTGGAACATTGCCCTATTACAATGGGGCACAAAGTTTTGTCTCTCAGTTTAAAGAGAGCACCTGAGGTAGACAGTCTAACTAGTGCAGGGATGAGCTATAAACATATTCATAAATAGTTGAAAAATATGATTCTGTTTGGTTGGCGGTTGGATTCAGGTCACAAAAATCTTCAGGAGCTTTACAATTTTTCAGTTACAGTGTGATTGCCATGAAATGAGGGATTTTATCTTACTGAAAAGGGTCAATAGTGCCATCTACTGACAGTTTGTTAATGAGACTGCCTAATTGCAATTTGAGCAGAAATTTGTGTAATCTTTAAGAAAATCCTTGCCATCAAATAAATAAGGCACCATTTGAGTACCAGCTTATGCTTTCAGTTTGAAAACACTTGCAGTAGTGGCTCAGGCATTGCAGAAGGGTATTTGGAAATCCTTGATTTTGTCCAGCACGTGTTCCATGATGTGTCTTTGCTTGAAAAGTTTCATGTTCAAGAATAGTTTTTTTATGAGTGATGGAAGCTAAGTGTTGTTCAGTTATTCTTAAATCTTTGGTCAGATGTTTCATTTGGAGTGATAACAACTATATTGCTTAGAGGGCTTAATCAAAATATGGCTGCTAATGTTTTTATGCATATTTTTCACGTTGGCTCTAGTGCAGAACACCTAGAGCTCTGTACCATGAGATTTTGAGTATTTTTGCAAAGGATCTGGGGGGTAAAAGTGGAACTGTCAAAGATCAGTGATGAAGTTTGAGAATTCCAGCATATAGGCATAGGTAGTTTGGATGAGACTCATGGTTGTAAAGGGAGCTGAAGACATTTTGATAGGCAGCTTGGGTAGAGGATAAGATTTTGAAGGCTTATGTATATTTTCATGAAAATAGTATCACCAAGACCAGTATTTTACAAAGTGATGGTGTTTGGCCAATTGATGGGGGTGGTGGGATGGACACAGATGCCCGTGGAAAGAATGGTCTTAATTAAAGTTGAGGCAGATGTAAGGGGATACATTTGATAAAACAATAAGCATATTACTCATTTGGCTTTAGCAACAAGCAAAAATAAGCAAGGTAATACATCTAATCATTGCTATATGAGAGAGAGACTAGTGATTGAGGAGGATACATCACCAATTGCCTAAACACTTCACTGTTATCCAGAGTCACAGTCCTTGTGCAGTGAGGACCTGGAGAAGCCTTCCCAGGAATTGGGAAGATCCTATGTGGTATGTGTCTGCTTATAGGTGAGGTCTCAGGTTTGCCCAAAAACAGGTCCAGCTTTTATAGGCCCAAATCAACAAGTCCAAGTGACTTGTTAGCCTTTTTTGCAGAAATAATCTGGTTCTGATGGCATGCTTCCTGACTAGCCAGGGCCAGAGCCCAGGCCATGGCTGGGAGGGTTTTTGCCTAAAATATTCCACTGACAAGTCTCTAGGGATAGTCTGGGAGGATTTCTCCTGCTAACAAGCCCTTAGGGACATTAGTTAGGAGGATCTCTTAATATATCTTACACAAGGTTATACAGATGTCTCTATAGCAGCCAGTTTGGCATTAAGAACAACTAATATAGATATTTTGATCATCTATTTTTAACTAAAGAATCTTGATGGTATTAATTGCATCATGTTCAGGATTCATCTTTTAAGTCAGCTCAGGCCTAGGCCTGCTGTTCAGGCCTTGGCATATCAGATGGAGAAGGAGAGGTTAGGGTTAGTGAATCAGAGATCAGAAGATGAGATGGACTGAGGTGCTTTTGCATAGGAGGACTAAGAAGAAATCAGAAACTAAGCCTCCTGTCAATGAGGAGGAGAAAATCCAGAAGAGAATACAGGTGGTGAGAGAAACAATCACTCTAACATGGCTTCTCTGAGGGATAGCTATCATAAGCAAAGACGGAGCAGGAGACAAATTGATTGGCTACCTATGACAGTGGTGCAAGTGGAAAAATTTCTTCTGAGTTCCTGAACCTGCTGATTCTCTTATTAAAAATACACAGGAAAGGTTCTCTTATTAGATGATGCACAGGAAAAACCCCATGTTCTTGAAGAACACACTAAACTCTTCTCTGTAAGTTACTTGATAATTGTGAGTAATTGCCAAAATACTGCCTCAAAACTGAGTTCTTGAAAGACTAGAAATAATTGCTTGATGCAAGAATTATCACAACAGTTCTAGCTGGATTAATTGTACTATGTTGGTATGGTTGCTTTAAATGGGAACAGTAGAATGTTTTGAGTTGATCAAAGTCTTGTCTACTAATTTGATAAACATCTGCATACTTTTTCAGGGCAAAATATCATAAATTAAAATATGGCACAGAATTGAACCAAGGTGACTTGAAAATGCCAACTTTTGAATCAGGTAACTTTTTTACAATAAATTTTTGTCTGTTTAATTTATTGTAGCTTTCTTCTCTGCACCCCTCTCATAGGTCTGTTATAGGGAATATGTCTAGGGAAGTTATGGAGTAAACGGCGTAAATATTTTTTTAATCTGAAAATCAAAATTAATTGACTTTTTTTTTGTAGAAGCTGTGAATGTTTTTATCTTAAATCAAGGAAAAGACTCCAAAGAAGAAAAAAATAGGCTATCGTAACTGCTTTTCTGGAGTACATCTGATTTTGCAGTTGTAAATATCAAGTTGATAATACCAGTTTTGTTTTTCAGAGTATTGCAGATGGAAGAAAGCATTTCTCCTAATAATGCTGGGCTCTTTAATAAGTTGAATTGTGTTTGACTTCTTTTGAAATGTTGGTCTTTGGGCCTGTATTTGTATAGTGTGCCTTAAAATTGTGGTCTACAGATTTATATGCCATCCGCTCCCTTTTTCCCTCCCCATTCTGTTTTCCAAGTACCACATTTTGAGTACATTTATACCCAGTTGAAACTAGAGATGATGATGCATATTTCTGACTTGATGGGAATTTTTGTTTGTGTCTAAAAGCAGTATAAATTAGGTGCTAACTATGACGCTGTGTTTTTCAGAAGATACCAAAGATACAGAGGTTCCTGCAGTACCTCAGAATAGCCAATTGACCTGGAAGCAAGGCAGACAGTTACTGCGACAGTAAGTAGCGTTGTTGGATATTGATGTATTCATACTTTTTCTTGCAGTTTGAGGAGCTCTTTGAAACATAACTGAGATGGGCAAATAGTGATTTGTTCTTCAGGACCTCAGAGTCCTGAGATTTAAGCTGTATTGAGTAAGGTTTTCCATGTGAGAGGGATTCAAAGCTTATTTTTCCTTAAATGACACAACAGTGACATTAATTTTTAGCAGTGAATACTGAGTTTCCTTTTTCATCAAATCTGCTTTCCTCTTTCTTTCTTCTCTTAACATAACTAGGTATCTTCAGGAAGTAGGTTATACAGATACAATATTGGATGTACGCTCCCAGCGGGTAAGGTCTTTGCTTGGGCTCTCCAATTCAGAACCAAATGGTTCAGTAGAGACAAAGAACTTAGAACAGATCCTGAATGGGGGTGAATCTCCTTCGTCAAAACAAAAGGGACAGGAAATCAAAAGGTAAGTGAAGAGATAAGAAATGCATAAAGCTTGATTTGGTTAGTCATTGATACGTGCTGGTCAGTTCACATTGAACTTTTGGCTGGAGAGCCTGTGAGCGAGCACCTGTGGATGTAGCTGACCACTAACAATTATGAACTTAACTGAAATTGATTGTACATAACAGATTGTACAGAACAGATATGGTTATTACATACATACATGAATGTTATACTAACATGATATACAGGAAAATTGTGTGTTGATGTTAAATTATGTAATGTAATCACTTTGGAGTCATTATTTTAAGGAAGGAGTCTGTTGAATGATGCTTTTGTAATAAGGGCCTAAGCAGATGTAGCAACTTTTTCATTCAGCGATTTCTTGTTTTGCTGGTTTTTAAGTTATTAAGCTGTCAGGTAGCAATTTTTTTAATCTGGTTAAGCTTCTAAATCTCTTCAGCAAGTAAAATGGATTGTCTCTTAATGTTTTTATTTTTATAGGAATTCTGGTGATGTTCTTGAAACATTCAATTTCTTAGAAAATGCAGATGATAGTGATGAAGAAGAGGAGAATGACATGATAGAAGATATTGCAGAAGGAAAAGAAAAGCATCGGATAAATAAGAAACACAAAGTAAAATTTTTTTTTCTTTTTATAATAGATCTGAAATTCCTTTCAAAAGGAATTTTTTCTCTAGAGATGATAGAAATATGTAGTGTCAAAGTATTTGTTGCACTATTGTTATCAGAGTGGATTATATGCAGATGCATTACTAATAGATGTGGTGGTTTACTTAATATATTACATTGCAAACTTCAAAGTAACTAACCAGGCTGTTTGCAAATATGAATGCTGCGTTGGATTTTCCTGAATAGTTGGCAGTGTGAGCTTGGCTTAATGCAAGCCTTAAATCTCCCAAACTGATTTGTCAGGAAGGGGTTTTCACCATACCTTGGACTTCTGGTAAAGAGATTATTCAAGCGTTAAGTTGAATCCCTTTTTTCTATTTAAAGTCTGGTAATAAGATTATCAAGTAAATCTCTAAGCATATATTAAGATCTTACACTCACTTTTTGACTTTTGACAAAGCTTTTTTTAATAGAAAACAAAAGAATCATTAATAGTTATCTTTATAAAAATGGTTTCTTTCTGCAAAAGTAAGAACGTTTTGCAAATAACCTCATGTGGAAAATTTCTTGAACTGAACAATAAAATAAAACTTTTCACTAATGCCTTAGCATCAGCAGAGAGTTTGTTTGTTTTGTTTAAGGTGAAGATATGGTTAGAAATAGTAAAAAGACTGTTTTCTTAAAATATATTCCAAGCTTATGCTTAACCCCGAAATAGAACTGGAAAACAAAAAGAAGGAAAGGCTTCTGGACCAGTAGAAAGCATAGTTTGTAAGCTCTCTCTGCAGAGCTATTGATAGGGCAAGAAAATCAACAAAGTTTTCTAATTATTGTGTTAAATAAAAAAAGTGAAGGCTGGGATGTGTGGGATTTTTGTTGCTAAAGCTAGTGTCAGTGTTCTTTTTATTTCCTAACATTCAGCAGACGGCACTGTTCTCTTTTTTGTTCTGATAGGCCAACTGAGATGACAGTTTCTTCTGCATTTTAAATTAGAAAATGTTTTCACCTGCAACAAATTACTCAGTGAGAATAGCCTATATATCTTCTAGCCTAAATGACTAGAAAATCTGTTTATGATTCAAATGCAGGAAAATATTTATCTTCTTGCAGATTGGTAATGAAGGTTTAGCTGCTGACCTTACAGATGACCCTGATACTGAAGAAGCTTTGAAAGAATTTGACTTTTTAGTGACAGCTGAAGATGGTGAGGGAGCTGGAGAAGCTCGAAGTTCAGGAGATGGAACAGAGTGGGGTAAGACACTAATAAAAGCATTTAAATATAAAGGAAATCTTGTTCATGATACTTCTTAAGAATTTTGTAATACTTACTAAAATGGTGTGGATGTGTGGATGAATGTGATGATAAAACATTGATGATTAGAAAATTATATGTTGTATAGTGAAACTTTCATATATATGTTGTTGTAGGTGCAAGTACAATTGTAGTCACATTTCTTTCAGATTTTGTTTCTGATTTGAAAAGTAAGAGGAGAATATTTTCTTTGTTAGGTAAGAAAGGCTAGGATTCTGAATGTTTTTATACCTGGATTAAATTTGCTTTCAAATACAGTTTTCTTTTTTTTTTTGTATTTGTTTCTTATCAGGACCTTCAAACTTTTGTACCTAAGTTAAATTAATTTTTTTGACGTACTTAAAAAATGGACCATTCTTTTATTTTCTGATTGAGATTTTCAGATGATGTTGCTAATATGGCTTGTATTAGTAAAATTTAAAAAAACCCCAAAACCTTTTCTAATAGCCCAACTTTTTATTAGTAACTTGATGGGAAACAAAATATGTTAAGTCAGTAATTTCTGCAACCTACATGTTTCAAAAGAGGAGATTGAAAGGACAAAATTTGTATAGGAAAAAGAATAGTGATTCAAGTAATGGATATCTGCCTTTAAATGGGAAATTGACTATGAATGAAAAAAGCCCCAAACTGCCATTAGATTGTGTTGTTTGAGCATTTTATGTGACAATGAACTCATATTTCAATAAACATCCCAATGAGCAAAGAAAATATAAAGATTTACAAAAATTAAGTAATGGCCCATCTTCCAGGAAAATAATACAGTCTTGATTTTGAAGGTAACAAGGATTTGCAAGAATTCTTTCCTAAAAACTAGTATCAAAGGATTAGTCACCTGTATTTTTAAAACTCAGTCTTATTTCTAGTTGGAAGATGAAGCTGAGCAGGCTGTTACCTTTAGTTTTGGTAATAACTGTCTATTTTTAATATCATTTTAGTTGCTTGCTGTGGTTCCCTTTTGAAGTTGATGTTATTTAAACAGTTTCTTGATGATCTTTTCATTTAGGCATACAGGCAGATCTCTTGGTAAAAGATGTCTCGTAGCACCTGAAGCAAGAGTTTTTCACTTTGCTTGCAACATCCCTTCAAATATACAGTGATGTAGAAAGTTGTGGTTCTAGTATGAGTCTTACTATTGTATATAAAAGCCAAGATAGTTTGATACTGTAATTCATGCAAAGATTTATCCAGACTGCTGAAACCTACTGTTTGAACTAGCTTGTCCATTGAAATTCCAAGTCACTGTTTCCAAGGATTACTTTCCAGTGTGTTCTATGTCTGGCATTTTCTCAAGTAGTTACTCAGTCTTAAGGTCTGTTTTAAAATTGACCCACCATGCTTTTCTTACAGCTGTTTGAATGTTTATAACATTTTCAGTGAACCCATAGCACAGTAAGGCAGAGCAGTTTAGGAGTTTGTACACACTTGTGACAGCTGATTTAACTGCAGCAGTCCCATTGCTACCAAAAAACTTATATCTGAGGCAAGAAAGTGGGAAGGAGGAAATAAAACATAAACTTAGAGTTTCATCTTTCAAAGTATGTTCTCAGTTTTGTTGTATGAAGACAATTTTCGTAAGTTTTTTTGAATATTTTGTAACTTACTATTTAAATCAGTCAAAGACATGCCTACAAATGTAATAGTAATATTTTTTTCACAGTATGTCCTTGATTTTAGTACAGGTGTTCTTTCCTTAAATGGGCATTTAAGGATACAGTCTATCAGATCTTGGGATTGTGTTACTTTTTAAAGATCAGTGTAAATATGACAAGACTTCTCTGTTAACTATCACAAATAGCATTTTAAATATTGTCCCACTTAAATGCTTTCTAAAATAAAATAATACAGTGCCTAAACCAATTTATTTTAGTTATTTTAAACTCTATGAAACTTGTTATTTCAAATATCAGGTCCATCCAGTTAGTTATTTATGTTGAGGGGAAACTCAATTTAAATGAATGTGTACTATTACTTCCTAAACAATTGCATCAGTCATGAACTTAAATATTTCAGTTTAAATCCATATTTTTCTTCATAATGTAGGAGTTGCTCTATTCTGTTTTCATAGTTTTTTCTTTCTTCCTGTTTTTGTTTTCCTATCATTAGCCTCCTTCTATCTCCTCTTACATTTGCAAACATTTAAGCATTCTGAAAAAAAAGTTAATATTTACTTCTCTAATTAGTTTTGTTTTGTATCTGGAAAGCATCTGATGTTTAGGCTCTACATATATTGCCTAGTTTTGCTTTAGTAATATTTACATTACTTATTTGGAGAGTATTATCTGAAGGTCCAACTTTCAATATCCTAAAATATTTCAGCACCAAATTTGATAGTTACATTTTTGCTGTTGGTGACTTCTTCAAACCTGTCAGAGTGTTTGGAAGTCTGGATTGCTTTTATTTTCTGCTGTATTACAGCTTTTTATGAACACATTATATTTTTATAAGTGCCTTAACATACTTTGAGTGTTAAATTGATTCCAAATGTTGTGATTTAAAGTGTTCTGTATGGAGCATGTTTTACTTAGGAACAGCTTTTCTTCAAAATAGTGAAAGATGAGGAAGTTCAAGCAGTGTTAAACGAAGAGTCAAAGTGATGTGACAAACTTAAAAAATATGTACAGTTTTAAATGAAAAAAAATCCTTGTGATTTTAGTATGAAGAAAAAAAAGCATTTATAACTGCAGTTTGCTTAAGCAAACAGCAATTTACGCATATTGTTATATATTGTGCTACACATTGCAGATGTCACTTATTACGAAGTCTCTTTATTCTTCTTATGGTTTCACGTGTTCATCGCTGGATTTCTCTTCCCCATGAAACACAAAAGTTCTCTTTACAGATGGACCATAAGTCAGAGAATGACTGTGCCCAGAATTCTGAGTGGCAGTGTGTGACTGAAATTCACAGTCTCTTGGGCCATCTTCAAAAAACTTCTAGAAAATAGAAAAATTTAAAGCCAGTGTTTCTCCACTCAGTTATATAGATCAATGGACATCCAGGATCCTCTGTGCTGTCCTGTATCAGTTTAGTGCAAGGAAGGCCACTCTTGGGGGCAGTGGCAGAGGTCTTCTAGGTACATGGCTCTGTTCTGAAATAGCCTAATATGTCTAGGCATGCTGGAGAAAAACACTGCTGGGTTTTCCTGAAAATCTTGTTTGAAATTAATTTCACAGCCTACCCAGTTAATCTGAGTTTGTGTTTTATCTAGTTTTCTATGTGCAGCATACATTTTTGCAGCCAACAGTGTTGGTTTTGAATATTTATGTCTGCAGGCTTGTGCTTCTTCTGTTGATTGAATGAGCCCAGTTCCTTCAAATTCTTTGTCTTTATATTCAGTGCCCTATTTGTTTTGCACTCTACAGACATTTTCTAAACTTCCAGTGTAGAACACAGACTGAACATGTTACTTTAATTTTATCATTACCTGCACTGTCGCAGTTTAATGCACTGCACCTTTTAAAATGTACAAAAATGGCATTTTTTAGAATAGCACTACATTGATGTTAGATGTGATCATCTTCTGGTTCTGTTTATTTCCCTAATCCTTCTCTGCAATGCTGCAACCTAGCTGATTATTTTCATTTTATTAATGGTGCTTTGGAATTTTATTGATTAGTTTTAACTAGATTTTAATGGAATTTTCTTTTAATTGAGTTTTAGCGGTTTCAGTTTTTTTCCTCTTTGACTGGGCATGTTCTCTGACTTACCTTTCTGTGCTTCTTGTGTTTCCTGAGTAATCACTCTTCCTCTCTGTCAGTGCTTAGGCCCAGTGATCAGAAAGACTGAGGTCTTTGTGTTTGCAGTTTGGTAGATGTAGCTGTAGTTTGGCGTAGGATGTCATTGTTCCCTTCTCATCGCCAGGGCAGCTCAGGGGACTCTGCCATTATGCTCCTGTTTCATGTTTCACTGCCCTTGCCATCTCTGTATTCCACCCCTTTGATCAAGATTGTCATTGAATGATGACAGATGCATCAGTATCCTAGGGTATCTGTCTGCTCATTCATTGTCATGTTTTGTCATGAAACATGTGCTTGGAATAACTCCTGGGTTTTTTAATTTTAAACACATTACTTCATTTCTGCTGTGTATGACTCCTCTTGTGTACTTTCATGATTATAATGGTTATAACTTCAAAAATGGGTACAATCATATTGTAAATATGATTGGAAGTTGGGAACTGAGGAACTCAGTCTTGTGATTTCATGCCTAAAGAGTTTGTGAGTATAAAGTTAAACTGGCACACAAACCAAGTTTGTTTGCTGCCTGATTGTCTACTAGCAAAAGTGCTTCTGCAAATGTTATATTTGCCTTGTTATAGAAACAGGTTTATCTTTTTAGTAATTCTAGGTTTCCAGAAATTACTGAGATGGATAATTCAGAAAAGTAGAGAACTGACTTTTCATAAAGAATAATTAACTCTGAAGTATTTGTCAAAAAGAAAAATACATGTCTTCTGAAACTACTGTGGAATGTTGTATTTCTCCTAATTATGATTTAATTTCTGGAATGCGGTGGGATGTCCACCTGTACAAATTACTCTTCTTCATCTTTGTGTGAAAAACTGTATTTATAGACTTGTTTCTCTGGTTATATGTAGGAGCAAGGTTTCTTTTTTGTGCATGTGGAATGAATGCGAAAGGATGCATGGTGGTCTTCATGAACAAACTGGCACTGACTTACTCAGCTTGCATTTTCATAAGAGATATAGCATGAATGCTTTTATTTGCTTATTCAACACTGGCTGAATAATTTCTTAACACTGTCTTTCTAAAGATGCAGTAATTGTTTCTAAATACCAATGATTTTTTTGTGTATTTCGAAGTATCTAACACAAACAGTTACTTATGAAGTTTAATTTGTTTGCTCCTTGGTAACAAATTAACATACAATTTTCAAATATGTAACTGATAATATACAGTGCCTTGGAAAACTGTATTGAATGAAACTTGGTCTTTTATAAACTTAAAACGGAGACTGCACCTTTAAAATAAAGATTTATTAATAACTCTTATTAATGCTCTTATACAGCTATGACACTAAATCACCAACAGCTTGCATTGCCAATTGCTGATTTTTTTTCTTTTAATAATATGCTGCATGTAGACAAAGATGACCTGTCCCCAACTGCTGAGGTTTGGGATGTAGACCAGGGACTAATAAGTAAACTGAAGGAACAGTACAAGAAGGAACGAAAGGGGAAGAAAGGGGTAAAGAGTAAGTGCAGATTCTGAATCTTGTAATGCAACACTTTTTTGCCTATTTATATAGAAGACATTTTTTCTCATGAGTTCTGTTTGTTGTTTTGTTTTTGTTTTTTTTTTTTGTTTAGCATCATTTTCTGTAATGGGGGCAACCAACTTTAACTTTCTACCTGCTGAATGTGAATATATCAAAACCTTTGACAGGCATTTCATAAATGAGAAATGTTGAAAAGGCAAAAATTCAAGGTTAAAGAGGTGAAGAAAACTAAATGCATAGAAATGTTAGTGTAAAAATAATGAACAACTTGCATTTTGAGAACATTGCTACTCTAAGACGTTTTCTGAAAGTTTTTGACTTCATCTGCTCCTTAAGTATAATACTGTGATACTGTGGTGGGACTGGTGATTGTTGGGCTTTTTCTGGGGTAGTGGTTTGGGGGTTTTTATTTAGTTTTTGGAGTTGTTTTTTTTTTTTTTAATATGAACTTGAATCAAGTTCATATTAAAATCAGTTGCTATTTATGGTCTTGTAATTATTTTTACAGCCCCAGGCATGGAGAATTAGGAAATGCTTGTAATGTAAATACAAACTTTTTGGTGGCTTTATTTAGGAGATAATCTTTATTTTATAATGCCTTTCACTTTTCTGTGCATTTATCAACATCTTATTTGATGTCTCTCTATTCTGGTCAATTTTCTGACCAGTTGACCTATTTTAACTATGTAGTTTAAACCAAACTTCAGAGTTGAACTCTCTGATAAAAATGCTTCTGGAAATTTCTGTAACTATGAAGTTCTTAGTGCATAAAGTGGTATTAAATCTGTCATCATAGATTGGTTTGGTTTGGGAGGGATATTAAAGATCATCTAGTTCCAAACCCCCTGCCATGGGTGAGGATAACCACCAAACCAGGTTGCTCAGAGGCCCATCCAACCTGTCCTTGAACACTTCAGGGATGGAGCACCCATAACTTCTCTGGACTCCTGTTCCACTGCCTCACTACTCTTACAGTATAGAATTCCTTCCTAATATCCAATCTAAACCTACACTTTTAGTTTAAATCCATTCCATACATCTGGAGTCACTGCAGCAGCTCCATGTCCCTCCTGTGCTGGCAGCCAGAGCTGGTGCAGCCCTGCAGTGGCTCTCAGCAGAGCAGGGCAGAGGGGCAGAATCCCCTCCCTGGCCCTGCTGCCCACGCTGCTCTGGATGCAGCCCAGGGCACGTTTGTCTCTCTGGGCTGGCAGTGCCCATGGTGCCTCGTGTGCAGCCTCTCAGGCAGCAGCACCCCCAAGTCCCTCTGGGCAGGGCTGCCCTGGGGCTGTTCATGCCCAGCCTGTGCTGAGACTGGGGCTTGCCCCAACCCAGGAGCAGCACCAGCACCTGGTCTTGTTAAACCTCAGGAGATTCCCATGGACCCCCTCCTGGAGCTTGTCCAGGACCCTTTGGATGGGATCCCATGTCACTTTGCAGGAGCTCCCATGGTTGCTGTGCTTTTATTTTGGAAGTATTTTTTAACAATTTCTGGAGATAACTAGTAAAAAAAGTTTTTACTAGTTTGTATTGTATGGGTATGCACTAACTAAATTACATGATAATTAGAATACAACACTGACGACTTCTGTAATTATTAAGATTTCAATTTACTTTGTAACACCTAATGGTTACTGGTCAGTTAGTGCATGTTAGTTGTTTTTTCAGCATTTTTGCATGACTTGTACACACACATAAACATAAAAGTTTTGACAAAGCAAAGATTTTTAGTCTTTGCTTTAATGAGAACCTACAGTAGTCATCTGCATGCTAATCTGTATCAGCATGTAACATGTAAATCGGCAGTTGACATCAAATTTGCATAAAATATATGGTAGCACTAGAAGTTTATTTTTAATACCAAAATGAACTTCTTTTATTTGACATTTTCTTACTAAATTCTTTACATTTTAGACATTTTGAACCATAGTAGCTGCAAAGTACCAAAATTTTCTTCATCTAAAGGAATTTTGAAATCTTTGGTTCACAGAAGACAGTATTTAGGAGACAACTGTGTGACAGTGCTGAGAAATGACATAAGTCATTGTTTAGCATTTTAAGTTTGAATTCTCCTTTGGGAAACCCTGAACACATATAGTCTTCAAAGGTGGTTTGTGAGATTCTTGGCTTGTCACATGCATGATTGTTTCTGGTTGAAAATTAGCATCTACATCACTGAGCTAATTGGATGAGAGAACTCCATACACAGAGTAAAAGTATGCATTCAAGGTTGGGCAGATTGATTTAAATACGATTGATTTAAATATTTTTAAATTGATTGATTTAAATATTTTTAAATTTAAAATTTTGAGACTTTTTTTCCCTCAGCTTTTTAACATTCTGAAACTGAAAATAATGTTGAAGGGCTTTTTAATTCCTGCTGTTCATATCTGATCATTTGGGGACTTCATCTTGAATACATATCTCTTCCTTTGCCCTTCATTGTTTTGACTTCTAACAGAATTTGAGTCCCATCAGAGCTTATCTGCATGGTAATATATATCATCATAAATGTCAAACAAATGTGCATTAAATGTCATCTTTTGCAATACTTTAAAGACAGCATAATAAGAGACATTCTGATGGGTTCTTTTGTTGGATATGCATCTGTAACTGCCATAATCTGTATTTACACTGTAACATAACAGGGCAGAGACAGCCCTGGCCTCAGGTATGGAAACTTTCATTCCACATGTACACATAAATAAGTGAACAGAAGTACACCTGATTCTATATTTTGATACTTCTCTAGTCTGTATGCTCATGTTTCCTTTTGGGTGGAACATCCTAATTAAGGTCATCTTCTGTTAGCACATATGTTTTCATTAAGTAATCTTGTTTGCTGAGGAAAAAGAGGGTGTCTGTCCAGGTAGTCACTATGTTATGTGGAACTACTACCTCTTTTTGAAAGCATCTTTAAAAATACCCCACCAAAACAAAAATCCACCACCTCACAACTTTAATTTCCTTCACAATGTAAGCTGTAAAATAATTCAAAATTTGTTTATTGAAGAGTTCTTGTGTTAAAAAACCCCAGAAGCAGAGAAAAAAAGCACACCTATCCAGGACTTAACTGTAATACATAGATAAAGAGTTAGGTTTGATGTCTACAAAAGCAGATGTCTACTTCTCTTTTCAGTAATATGCTGAATTTAAAGCCTCTTTCTTGCCCATATTTGATAAGATCAATTTTGGCAGGTAAGTCAGGGGATGGCTATTTTTCAGATATAGCCTGTTGCCTTTGCAGGGTATGATAGTGGAGGTGTTGCATATCTCATTTCATTCTATGAGGTCAGCATAATGTGTTCTCAGTTTGAAAGTTTTCACAGCTTGTGTACATATGTATATATCACTGTAGAAATGAAGATACTTTTACTGTTTTTCTTTAGCTTTTTTATGTTAAAACTTTCCTGCTCTTTCCTTCAGTTTAATTGTTCTGTACTTACAAAACAGTATCTGTACTGTTGACTTTCCTACCCTTGATTTCTGGAAATCATATAACAGTTGATAGGACTGAAAAGAGATCTGAATTTCACCATCTTCATTATCATCACCTCTTCTTGACATATAAGAATCTCTGTGTTATATTCAGACTTGGACTAATACATCTTCCACCTAATAAAACTCTGCTTAAGGCTTCTCAGACTAAAACTTTTCATCACTGAATATTCAGTTATCTTTTTCACTTTTGATCTCTGAAGAACAGTACACTGAGATGGTACTGTTAACTTTTGCTTCTGTTCATACCAGGTCAGGTTTTTTTTTGTCCTTGGCTTTTTTTGAGGGTAAAAGGATCATCCCGTTTTGTTCCTTGGCCATAGTTTCTTATGTGGAGGTGACACATTCTTTTCTTTAAAAATCTCCTTGTAATATTTACTATACTTGAGCAGTTACATGAAGGTACACTTGCACTTACATGAAAGCAGAAACTTGGGCAGTCTTCTGTCGTGGTGGCACAGTCTTGAATGCTGACACATGTTTCAGCATGAAACGCTCAGAAGTTGTTCAGAACAGCAGCTGCTCCTTTATAAACTTCTCTCTATATTGTATGATGTTTGAGGACTGTTCTGAGGTTATGCCTGAAGGACAAGAAGTGCCCATAGTGAAAAACACTAAAAGGCAAGGATATCAGCCCCCCAATTAGTGACCAACTAAATGAATGGCTGCTTAAAGATAGCAGAGCAGAGGGGCTACTTTTAGTTTCTTCTGAGTATGCCTCGAGACAAACTTGTCATGCTCATATATTTGGCATGAAAGCACCTGGAGAAGATGCTTTCAGTTCAGATAGAGGAAACATTGATTTGTGGCATTTTGCCTCAGTGTGTAGAACCATTTATGTTTATCAACATGGAGAAGACACGCTTTTTCTTCTGGAAAGCAAAGGGTTCATGAAAGTAAACAGTTTAGTGTCCCAGTCATGACTTTTGTCCTGTTATTTTATTGATTGCTCTGTAATATCTTCAAGAATATATCTACTCTGTCACTGTAGGTGCCTGGCTGATGGCTGACTGTAATAAAGATGAAGGCAAGCTTTGTAGTCTGTGTGGTGTAGAGATCTGTCCATTCTAAGAGTGACTTTTCTCATGTGAGATCTCACCTGCTGGCTGCAATATTGAGTACTATACTTCAGAAATGAAATCCTTTCAGCATAGAGCCTGTTTGAAAAAAAGAGTGTTTCATTCTCATTATTATTTTACATTCACTTCATCAGCTGGGATACAGGTTTCTAGACATTCTTCTACAGGAGAATGAAATGAAACTTAACTGATCAAGTCATCTGTTTTATGAGGAAAGCTTTTGGAAGCCAGTTTTATTCTCAGATTGCTTCTGGGTAGCAGTCTTTGTATATTTAACTAGAATACTAAGTGTTCTGTGAAGGAAAGAAAAAATTACCCAAAGCAGAAAAAACGTAAATATAGGGAGTTTTATTACTTGGCAAAATGAGAATGTATTGCAGATATTAATGAGAACAGTAATACAGCATCCTTTTAGGGGTTTGTGAGATATACTTCCTGTAATTCTTCTTCAATAAATACTTTTTGTTGTCTTCCCTCTCTGCAGGGAATTCTCCCATTATCTTTAGAGAATTCTGTTATTCATGGACACTTATTTTTGAACACATTGATTTAAACCAGTAAGATCTGAAATTATCAGATACTTTGTGAAAGAGAACATTTTAGTGTTTAACTGTTTGAATAACAGTTCTGAGTTTAAGTCATCTGTAATCATAGTATTTGCATTTAACTTTTTTGGCAATAAAGGCTTTGGTTTAGTTTCAGTTTCCTCTTTAATAAATGTGAGACATGTCGCTTCACTATAAGAACTTGTTCACTAATGCTTTCTTTACTAAATGGCCTACAATATCTCTGCTTGCAGTCCCAGGAAGGGCTGTTTTATTGGTTTAAATTTGGTTATGTCTTTCATCATTATGGATTGTTTTCTTTAAAGAGGTTCTCTTACTGAAATACACTTTATAATTGAAGCTTGACTTTTTGATGTGGAAGCTATAAAGGTGAAAGCAGGAGTGGATTTAGTAATTTAAAGAGATTCTAAATTATACTTTTTGTTTGCTAATGTCTACATATTAATTAAATGTACATATAATTCAGAATGCTTTGTTTCTAGAAGTTTGCTTTTATAATAATTTTAATATAATATACATCTGCAGTTTCATACAGTGGTGGAAGCATTCTTCTGCTGTGTTCAACAAACATTTCATACAATTTAAATACCATTCAAAGCAGGGAAAGTTAATTGTTCGTTGCACCCCCATTATGAGTTGTCTGTACTTTTGCTCTCATTTTTAAGCTTATTTTTAATTAGCACTCTGTTTTTTAATGTTAAATTGTTTAGTATAGTTAAAGTTGTGTAATATTATTAGAAAATGTTTAAATCATTTTTTTGTTTAATAGTGAATGTTCTTTTAGTATTTGGCTTGACTTTCCAGTAGGGCTGTAAGATGATTTTTTTCTCTCTCCTACAGGAAATTGTAGAATAGCTCTACAGAACACAAAGGAGTTATTCTTTGATTTAGTGAATTTCAATTGTTTGCATGTAGTTTTCAGATTTGGTTTATTAACTCCTGCTTTTGATTTCCAAACTATTACTAAACAAAAGCAAAGCACTATTTATTTTAAGGAGGTCCCATCAGTAATTATTCTTATTTAATGGATTTTTAGACTTCAGTCAAGTCAAGCGGTAGCAATCAAATGAATTTTTGCTGCTGACATTAATTTACAGGAGTCAACAGGACAAAACTTCACGACATGATAGCTGATCTGGGCGATGATGAGATACCCCACATCCCTTCAGGAATCATTAATCAATCTAGGTCACCCTCTTCTAGAATGACTGATCATGAAGGTGCAAGAGCAGAGGAAGGTACAAAAAATTCAGCTACTTACTGTATTTCAGGAGATTTCTTTTAGAAAGCACACGCTGTCATTTATTATCCCCTCTGTAAAGCTGAATGCAGTTGCAGATTGCCACATTATTTTATTTGCAGTTCTTCCCAAATGGCTTTATGAGAATATGGCTGTAGTTTTTGTGGCTTTTTATAACTCAGCATTGTTTAATAAGTTTTTTTAAATAACTTCATATACAGCAGTGTGTTCTGACACTATTCACTATTAAATCCCTGTTTGGAGACACCCCCCCATTAGCAAAACCTTTCACAAATAGGTTATTTATTGAGGGGAAAAAAGGTGAGTATAAACATTTGATGCACAGTTTGGATTTTGAAATGCGAAGTGGTGATTTAAGTTATGGGACTAATTAGTCTCTTTTCCTCAAATTTAATGTTCTCTTTTATAAAATTCCCTTGATCTATATACACAAGTTTACAAAGACACTATTTTTTTACAAAGTATTTATTTAAGTTTCAGGATTATCTTTGGCAATGAAAATTAGTGGCAAGCTATTATATATAAAGTTGAAAATCTTGTATTTAGCTTTTAAATTTTTTGTTTTAAAGGAATGATTTTCCTGTATTAGCTTTGAAATTAGAATACCATTATGTAAATTGTCCTCTGCTTAGAGCATATTAATTCAGAATACTCAGGTGTATTCAGATTTAGCTCTTTTAGGATGATCTTTGACCCATAAGCCCTGGCATGGTGTCAGCTATACCAGAAATAGAAATTGCATTACTGCTGATTCCAGGAATCGATTGGTTCTCCTGTTCTTTTTCATAGTTGGCCTCACAAATGCCTGTCAAGAGGCAAGTAGAAAACAACCCCAAACCACACTTCAAGGATGTTTTTTTTGTTGTTCTCCAAAATTCTCATTTTACAACAGTCAGCTTATTTACTGCCTTCCTTTTCATCTTTGTTTTTATTTCCATATTCAAGATGAAGCAGTATCAAATTTACCTGTGGAGTGCAATTGAAAAATGTACAGATGAAAATCCACTTGCTAAAACTTGTAGACGTATGTTTAGGTTGTTTTTAGATTCAGTGTTTACATGCTTTAGGTTGCCTTTCAGCCATATTTAGGTATTTAGGCCATACATGTTGTGCAAAGAAACACAGACACAAACCTTGTTACGGACAGGGTTGCTGTCTCAGGTAGAGGCCTTACATCTAAAATTATACTGGACAAAGCCAGTATGTATTTTTGAAGAAATAGATGCTAGATTTGAATTTGATAGGGACTGACTTTTATTTCCTGGTTCTTGTAGCATAAAATTGTGTTAGCCTTCAAGTAAAGATTGTTCACACTGTTCAAATAAACTGCTTTCATGTTTATATTTTCATGCTGTTTAATGTGTCCATGTCTTTTTAACTTGTCAGTGTAGTTTGCTCTTTATTTATTAAGTGTAATAATATTAATATCTCTGTCATCTTATTTGCTCATTTTGGTTTCTGCGTAGTTTTTAAACTTGAATATTAGAGTGTAAGTTCTGCTATTTCTATCCTGAATGCTATGTGGCTTCTGTACCATATGGTGCAAAACTGCAAATAAACAGGCAGTGTTTTATTTGAATTCCTTCTAGATGTATTACAAGGCCAAATACTTCATTATCATAAAATACAGATTTTACTCAATTATTTATTCAGCTGTGTTCTAAAAGCTAAGATTTTGCAGATAACTTCAGGCTTTCTTCCTAGGATACACTAGCCTGTGCTGAGGAATTTTGTCAAGCTATAGTTGTCTTTTGACAGTATGGAAGTTTTATGCCATACTTTGAATATTACAGTTCTGACATAGTGGTTGATAATTTTTTCTTGAAGGGGGTTCAGAGAGAACCTAGCTCTAAATGGCTTGGAATATCTCTTTCATAACTCTAAAGGTGTGAGCGTTTGGGTTTGGGTTTTTCATTGCTGTTTGTTTTTCATTGCTGTTTGTTTTTCATTTGTTTGTTTATTTTTCACTCTGAACTGCCTGGTTAATTATAATGTTATGCCATAATCACACTTGATAATTTTGGCCATGAGAAATTGGAGTTTCCATTTCAACATATTCTATTATTTCAGAAATGGTATCCAACATGATTTTCCATCCAGTGTAGAGAAAGTTACTTTCTTCACCGGTTGTTTTTCAGTTTTAATATCTATAGATTGCAGAGGTGTCAATCTACAGATTGACAGAAAAAAAGCAGTAACAGCTAATTACTTGAGTATGAACAGCTGCTTTTGATGTACCACATATTAACTTTGTGGGAAACAAGATGTCCCTGTTGTACAGTAGACAACAACAGCCCATATGAGTACCCATATGTGATCAGAGATTAAAGCAGTTTGTACAATCACTGCTTGATTTTGACTTAATTGTGTATGATGTGAAGAACTTGAAGGTAAGAAGTGCTCGTTAAGATTGGCTAAGCAAATATTTAATTATACAATTTTATATTTCAATATTTATTTCACCTAGTTTCACCTACAAAGGAACTTGTACTATCACATTTTAACTTTAGATTTATTGATTGCAAACTCAGTTAAGCATTTATATTATACTATGCGAATAATATTGTACTGTGTGTTAGAAAATTATTCTTTTTCTAGATTAAAAGCATTAAAACATCATTTATTTAACTATCATTTGCATGTACCTATTGATGCATTGTTTTGGTATCTGAAGATGTGAGTCTTTATTTTTAGTAGCTGTAACATCATGCATTTTTCATTATGTTACTATTCTGCCATTTCTTTTTTTGCAAAAGCAGTTTGCAGCCATTTTTTAAACTTCTCAAATATGCCTCACTTTAAGATATAAAATTCACAAATAAATTATAGAACACATATACATACAGGTAGCTTTAGTATTCTGAATTAGTCTTCTGAATTTTGAGTAGCATGAATTTTGAAGCTTTAAGTAAAGAAATAGTCACTCATGCAAACAAAACTTGACAAATTTGTGGTATAGGTTCTTGATGTGGTGGTCCTTATTTTTTATTATAAAGCATAGGAAGGTTGATCTGTTAAGGTCAGGAGATGTTAGTTTCATAAAAAATTAGTATGACAGGTTACAGGGCTTACCTAAACTTTGTGGGCCTGTCCTAAAGATCAAATAGGAGTAAGGGAAAAGTAAATAGGTGTTTTGTAGGAATATATCTTTTTTTTAATAGAAGTGGTTTGTAGTAGATCTTCAGATGTAGAGTTTTAGTAAATTACTGATGGAAATTAAAAGCTTCTTCATATAAGGGCAAGGGAAGCCGTTTTGGGCTGTTAATGTAATGTAGCATTCTTATGAGTCAAACTTGTATGGATTGTGAATGTTTTTACAAGAGGTGATTGTGCGTAGTTAGAATATTGTTTGCTCTTTTTATGCAGTTGTAGGAACAGCAGTCTGTATTCTTAGATTATGTTCTTGGATTCTCAGAAATAGTTGTATTGACTATGCTAATGAAGTTACGTTTCTTAATAGTACGATAGTTCTGAAGCATTAAAACCTGTTTTATTCTTGGGAAGTGATGTCTTCTGACCTAGCTGGACTGGCTCCTGTGTGCCTAGCCCTAGCAGTGGTGCCAGACATCTGTAACTTTACACCTGGGGTCAGTCACTTTGGTTACATGGGAGTGGATCAGACCTAGGTTACCATTCAGAGAGTGGTCATATGGAATAATGGACATGTTTGTTCTAAACAGGAATGTGTTAATTATTAGTCCTCTTGTTTGTAACTGCTTCTAGAAGGCAAAATCCCAGGGAACTGGAAACTGTTTTCGCTAAGATTGAAGGGTTTTCTAGGAGGATTAGAAATAAGGAGTGGCATTAAAGTGAGACCATAATTCTCTCTGCCAGATCAGTGACATTCAAAAGTCAAGCAAGTTTAAGTTTTCAAGATGTCAGATATCATTTAACATATTTTGCAGATGCTTATACTTAGCTGAAGTTCACACAGACCTTAATTTCACATACTCTACTTAAGAAGTGTTGCTATTTCTAAGTGGAAAAGAAAACTGAAAAGTAAAAGTAGCTTCTAAAATGTCCTGAAGCATTACAATGTTTAAGACTTCATTCCTGTTCCTTATTTTAAAATTGGTATTTGTGGGTCAGCGGAGATTTACAAAATCATTGAAGAGGGTAAAAAATATGGGTGAATATTTTAAGCTTTATTATTCAGATGCAAATTCATAGTGAATGGTTATATATAACTTTTATTCATTCTAAATGATAATTGAAAGAAATGTTAAATTTCAATTTGAAGTAGGCGCAGCTAGACAACATGAGTATCAGTTGAGTGTTCTTTAAAATTAGAATCCAAAATCATGCTGAGAAACTAAGAGAGGAAATGAATAAATAATAGATGCTTTCATTTTTTCAGTTGCCTGAGAAAACTCAAAGCGGAAGAGATGTTTTGCAGGAGTCTTTTGCTTGAGTGATTAAAAATATTTAGTGTACAAGTAGAAATATTTAACTAGTATAAAACACAAAGACATATTTGCAAGTGGATAGAAGGCAGGAAGCATGGTGTATTGAATGAAAAACTCAGCTGAGAATTTGGAAACCTGGGATGTACATTTGGTATTGCAGTGTAAAGTAATGTCAGTCAAGTCACTTGTCAGTATCAATAACTCTGTAAAGTAAGTTGAAATCAAATGATGAAGCATGGTACAAGAGTTGTGTATATAATGTGTGTGTGTTTGCACATGTGTGTGTGTCCTCATGCTCTTGGTTTTTGTTTTTTTTAGTTGGGGCTGTATGTAGTACGTACAAGTTCAGTTTTAAACTCTGCTTTGCTGTTAAGTGATGAATAATGCAACTTTTCATCGGTTTGAATTACTCTGTTGAGACTTAAAGAAACTGTTTTGTTCTTTGTAGCTGAGCCAATAACGTTTCCACCTGGAGGAGGCAAGTCATTTATTATGGGTTCTGATGATGTGTTGTTAAGTGTACTGGGCCTTGGAGACCTTGCAGACTTGACAGTAACAAATGATGCAGACTATAGTTATGATGTAAGTGCAATTTTATTTTAAAATTCTTTATACAGTTTAACCAATAGTAGTTGGGTCCCTTCTCCTCAATCCTGAACATTACTGATGCACTTCTTTAGTAAAAGCTGTTACTTGGAACGGAAGAGCACCTTGCAAATGAACTAAGTAATTTGGGTTACCAGAATTAAGTGAGATGACTTGGGTTTTTTCTACATTAATAACTTAATTCAGATTTTGTCACTGGAGGGGGAATGTGTTATGACCTAAAATACATATTAATGTCTTAACATGACCAGAATTACAGTTATACATTGAAATGGAGTGTTGAGTAGGCATGGCATGAAACACAAATATTGATATTAACTCATATATTTGCTGTCCTTCTGATGAGTAAGTAGTGTTAACAGCATAGACTATATATATATAGTAGTATATTTCAGATGTAAGCTATTAGGGGGTATTTCTGTTGTAATCCAGAGTGTTCTGACATTCCTTTGACCATATTCATTAAGCATCTACCAATAGTGTTAAACAAATTTTTTCTTGGCCTGTAACATAGGATGGCTGGTTAGGGAAGTGTTCAGGTAAGTTTTGCATGAAGTATTGTATTTTAAAAATCTTGTATTGGCTTGACTGCAGATTGCAGCTTTGTATTGCTGTCTTTTGTGAACTACAAATTCTTTATAAAACAGTGTGTAGCCATTTTGCTTATTCTGAGATGGAGGGATATTTAGTGGCAAGCCAGGACTAAGGTCAGAAAGCATTGCAATTAATATACCAACTAACAGAACTGTTACATGAGACTCTGCTAATTCTGACAAACCTGACAAACAAACCTGTATTTGTGGTGTGGAGAGTGAGGCAGAATAGAGGTTACCTTTGCTCTTGGGGAACTTAAAGGAGAGAACAGCTGATAAATACACAAATATGAAGTGCTGCCTGAGCTAATAAGAAATTTGCAGCAAAAGCACACATTTGTTGAAGGTTGGAAGGTGTTAATCATCCTGTAGATGAAGTAGATCTTACTTTTTCAATGTAGTTGAATTTTCAAAATTTTTTTCACTGAAACACTTAAACCCCCAAGGCTCTTTATTTTCACCTATTTTGTGCTCTAATATCTGGTGTATACAGGAGACAAAAGATAGAAGTAGAGTTTTTCTTACTAGGTCATTCACTGAAAATGAGTTGTGATTGACCATCATTGTCACTTGGTTTCCCTGCTTCTTGAGTACTTCTACTCATAGGATATTTTCTTCCTTTTAATGCATAGCTGAAAAATGCACAGTGGCTTCTGACTTCATGTGTCAGAAAAAACAAAGTATAAAATAACACAGATGGCTACAATTTTTTTAATATTTAAGATGACACTGACCTGTCACGACTTCGAATAGACTGAAATTCAAATGCTGTTAGTTTTTCATCACGATGTTTCTTTAGGTTAAAAATTCCATGATAGTTTTTAATTGCTGAAGTTGTTCTCTCATAGCTACGGATTTGCAGCACAGTAAGACCATCTCTTACCTTGCACCTGTAATACAGTACTTGCAGGGCATTGTAGTCCAATGCCCCTGTAATCTTAGGTAAAGTCACTTCCTTTTCCAGTATATCTCCAGACAAGGAGGTGTGACACTAAGTTAATGTGTAAGTAAAACAGGAACAATGAAAAAAACTCAAACCAGAACACTTAATGCATTTGCTCCCAATAGGTGCATGCTCTTCAGATAGCTTTTGTGAGCTATTAGAGTGCATTAATAAATAAAGCCACAACAGGCTTCCATTAGCTTTCATGTGTCACTCCTTGAGGAGTGTTGTGTTTTGAAAAGGAGAGGATATGAATACAGGATAGGGGTTAAGTATAAATCTTAAGAATTTCAACTACAACTCAAAAGATTTCTGTATGTTTGATTAAATTCACAGGTCGTCTCCAAGACTAGTCATCTGGTAAACAGCTCAAGTCATGTCTTTTTTATTATCTGGTTACTTAAATTGACCTAAGTGCATGTAGTTGTTTGCATGCTGTGGGAATAATGTTGCCAAATCAGATGCCTCCATTTGTATATTTTTTGATTCCATAGCACCAGAGAATGGGGTTTTTCTGCAGTACAACTGACTGAAAAATGGAAAAGTTTCCTTTATCAGATCATGTAAACTTGGAAATCTCCAATAAGTTACAAAATTATCAAGAAAAAAGTAACATTAGAACACAAAAAGACACTGCAGCTACTAATTATTGTTCTATAAAATTTTTGTTTGCTGTTGGGGAGTACTTGTTCGACATAGGGAAATGCATGTCTCTTTACAATTTGTTAGGATTCTCTTGACTGCAGGGGCAAGGAAGATCTTCATTCCCTGATGCCTTTTTTTTGGTGGGAGGGAGTTGTTGTTTATTTGTGTTGGTTTAGTTCAGGTGTAGTTTCAGTCCAGTTTGCCTGTGCTTTGCAAGGCAGAATGAATGGGTTGTTTGATCCTTCTTGGTCTTTAGTAAAACCCGCTAAAGTCCATGGAAAAAGGGAGCAGCAGCTACTGAAGTAGTCTGTGTTGTATGACTTTGATTATCTTGACTGTGTGTGTGTATAAATACACACTTAGAGTAGAGCATCCAGACTCAGTGGGGCAGTGTGTCCATCTACACCTTATGTTTTGAGAAGCTTTGAGGATGTCACACTTTTGAACATTGATATATACTGTCCCATTTCACCACTTTTCCATTATTCCTCTGGCCTGTTTTGTGAAATAATCTCACATTTATCCTTTGTAATCATCAAATCCCTTTTCCAAATCCTTGATGGTGTTTTTCTGAGGTGGGATTGGGTTTTTTGGTTGTTTTTTGGAAATACATTACTGGTTAACTTTTTTTCTTAGAGATTGCAAGGACCTCTTTGAAGATGTATCAGTTGTTCTCTTACTCTTGCAGTAAGGATATCAAGATCCATTAGAAACATGAATAGGGAAAAGAATTTTAAAAAGTTGGTTTATGTAGAGCTAAATTTCTAATAAGGTGTATGTGGTGTCTTCTAAAACAACCATGATGTTCCAGTCCATTTTAAAAAAATTAAAACTTCAAAGCTATGCTTAAAGTAGGAAATGTACCTTACTTTTCATAACTTGTGTAAATTCTATACCTTGCATTTGAGCAGATTTCTCTGTACTGCTGAAAACAAAATTACTCTTGCAACAATCCTTTTAAGAAAAAATTAAAAAAAAATAGAATCAACTCTTTTCATATTTTGAAAAATAAGGATCACTGTATCCAGTTGTGATTTTCTTGAATGACTTTGCATCACAACTGTGGTGGATATTGTTGTGTGGCTGCACATTGCACCCAAAAAAATTGCTAGTCACCTGCATAATCTGGGATATTTCGTGTGCTAAAATTAAGGATTGCTATTTCAAGTTTTTGGCTCTAATTTCCCTAAGCCCCAGATCACTGCTAATACTTGAGGGACCATAAGTTAGCTAAGTGGGTGAATATGTTACGTAATGACAATTTAAAATATCAAGGGACTCTATTTTTTAGGAAAATACCTTTTTTTTCTTTTCTCCCCTTGTCTTGTCCATTTGGGGAGGGAAACAAATCATTGGTTTGGTCCAAATTATGTTTATTGCAGAACTCCAGAATTCCACTCTATTCTGTTTCCTAAAATGAAAGATTATTCTTTTTATGAAGCTTGCATATAATATGCAGTGTAGGGCTAAATAACTTAAATCTCAGTAAAAATATTGCAGTATTCAGTGTACTCTGAAGTAGGAAGATTGCAAGCAAAATGCTTTGTTATTATATGTATTTCTTGGTTGGCATTTAAAAAACCCTAAAAATTCAGGTTACATGTCTGGTATAACAAGTTTCTGTGACTTGATTGGAATTAGGTAAGGTTTGCACTTAAGACGGAAATTTACAGTAATATAATGGAAAAGCAAATGTCTGCACTTCTGTAGCTCAGAACACTAAATTTTATTGTCTAGACCTCTTTGTTTTGTTGATTGGATTTGAATTTGGTTTGAGTGAGTAGTGATAATTCAATCCAGATTATAGACTTGGTCCAAAAATAGTTATTGCAGTATATGCTACACTATTATCTGAATATTTTCAGTCCTGACAGATAAAAGGTAGTAAGATTTGATTAGCTATGGGAGATTTTAATTTCTTATTAGCGTTGCTGAAATTAGTTTGAGATGTCAAGCTATTCTGGCCTGCAGTCGAGAAACATACTTTACAATTACATGCTGAAATAGATAGTGTGTAAGATGAAGGATACAATTAGCTTCCTTTTGTATAAGACAGAGGATACAGTTGGGTTCCATTTATTCTTAGTTTGCTTATTTTGTTCATCTAATTCAAGTCAGTTTTCTAAACTACCTTTAGGGGAAAAGAGAAATACCTGGATAAGTTGTTTCTTTATGACGGAGGCTTAGGATGGGATGTAGTCTGCTTGCTGCATAAATATAAATTGTATTCAAAGCTGTAAATTAATCTCTTGGAATTGCTAGAAGGGCTTGTATTTTTCTTGTAACTCTTCTTGGTTACCTATGAGTATGAAGCAGCTGTAATTATTGTATTTTAGCCTAACAGTCTGCAAGTTAAAAGTATGAATTGGATGTTCACAGTGTATAAATATAGAGTTTGCATATATTGTTTCACAAAGCAGCTAAGTTATTGTCTCACAGATACATTTGAAACTCATTAAAGACTTAAAAAATATTTGTGTAATGTTATGTTTAAAATCATGACAAATGTCTATTGAAATTTTGATTACTGTGTACGTGACTTCACCTGTAGAAGTATTCAAGAACTATGTATGTTTCTTGTCAACCTTAGTCAAGTTACTCATCTAAGGGAGATCGCTCACCAAGCACCTCAAGCTCATTTTTATTGTGTTTAAGTGATAAATGAGCTTTTGGCAGCTGTAATCTCTTCCTTGGGTGCAGACAGCATAATACACAATGAAACATTTCTCTTTCTGCAAGGAAGAGGAGTTAGTGTCATTGCACAAAAGGATTAAAATCTGTTCTGAAAATCAAGTCTTCTTTTCTGTGTGTTTAACATTATATATCATTCCAGCCTGTGTCAAAGGAAACTGTTACAACAGAAAAATTTGCAGACTGTCTAGTTGGCCAGAGAAGGTTGTAGATGGATATAGATAAATCAATAGATAAATACAAACTTAAGGTTGAATATATATTAACTGAATCAAGCATAGGAGGTTTTCCAGAAATACGAGGGGATATATATAAAATCCATATTTTAAAATCCAAGATAAAATGACTTCTTTCCTTTTCTCTTCCAAGTTGCCAGCTAATAAAGATGCCTTCCGAAAGACATGGAACCCTAAGTATACGCTACGCAGTCATTTTGATGGAGTGCGGGCATTAGCCTTTCATCCTGTAGAGCCTGTGCTGGTTACAGCCTCTGAGGACCATACTCTAAAACTCTGGAATTTGCAGAAAACGGTTCCTGCCAAAAAGCAAGTATATGGGTTTTATAAAACATCAGTTGTGTTTTAAATGCCTTTGAAATGGGTTAAACTCTTACAGTTTCAAGTTTTTCAGTAGAGATTTCACGTGGCATAACCACTCTCCTTTTTCTTTCAGGAGTGCCTCTTTAGATGTAGAACCCATCTACACGTTTAGGGCCCACATGTGAGTGTTTGATATTATTCATGGCTAATAAATAAATTGTCATTCATAACGATGTATTCTGTCCTGTAGGCAGTTACCAATCAGCTTTTTTCTGTCTCTCAATAGTGGACCGGTATTGTCATTGGCAATTAGTTCCAATGGAGAGCAGTGTTTCAGTGGTGGTATTGATGCAACCATCCAGTGGTGGAACATGCCTAGCCCTAGTGTGGATCCATATGATACCTATGGTAAGTTCCTTTTAAAAGATAAACAACTTCTGACCATTGTCTTCAACATTATTTTTCTACTTGATGTTAATCTGCGTTCTGGAGCTTTTGTGAAATATTACTGCCATTTCTCAGCTATGCTGTGTGTTTTCAAGTACTTATGTGTGGCAAACATTAGTTATTTATTCCTGCTTGCACTGATGATGTACTTTGTGTAGAACAGTAATAGGGAGACTTAACAATTCCTAAGATTTATGCAGTAAAGAGAAAAATAATCATAATTTATAGTTTTGAGAAGCCTAATATTTTGAACCAGAATTACAACTTCTCAATAATTATGCATTTCTTCTGATGGAAATTTGCCAGAAAACCAAGATAAGTGTGCTCAGATTCTATGTCCCATGTTTCTGACTTGCATCTCAGGTCCCTAACTTTAGATATCTTTAATTTTAGATCTCTCTAAAATTAAATAGCTGATAACTGCTTGGAGAACTCTGCATAAATTTAAAAACCCTCTAGAAAAGGCAACTGTAAAGTATCAGGGAGACAAAAATAAGATTGCTAGCTCCACAAGAAAAAATTAGTCCTGTTTTTATCATTAGTGCGATTGAGAGTTTTAGACCATACCTATGTGTGAGCAGAGTAAAAACTGCATCAAGTAAGCATCCGGTGTTAAAGTGGAAAGCTGATTTTCTGCACCTTGTACAAAAAAAGGGCTGTGATCAAGCATCCTTAAGATATTGAATTTGAAAGGAAGAAATAAGAGAGGAGGTGGTAACAAGAGTGAATAATTTGGGGAAAAGGGACATAGTTGAGTTGTTTGGGGGGTTTTTTTTGTTGACTGGTTTGGTTTGGTAGGGTTTTTTAGTTTCAGTTTGTTTGTTTTCCTGGTTGGTTGGTTAGTTGGTTGTTTTTTTTTTTTTGAGAAAGATGGCAATGGTTTTGCAAAATTACTTGTGCAATATTCTAGCTGTTACTTAAAGAGAAAGGGCAGGGGGAATATTCAGCTGGTTTATGTGGAATTTAATTTATGTTGAGGTACAAGAAATAATGAACGCTTCTTCACTAAAATGGTTTCCTTTCTCAACTTTTGTTTTCCAGAGCCAAACGTTCTAGCTGGCACATTAATTGCTCACACAGATGCAGTCTGGGGTCTTGCTTACAGTGGTGTAAAGAATCACTTACTCTCTTGTTCAGCAGATGGCACTATTAGGTTATGGAACCCACCGGAAAAAAATCCCTGTATTTGCACTTACAATGGAGAGAAAGGTAACTTTCTGCAGTGGTTTTGAAAATCTGTTATGAGGCAGCTGATGATGCATCCAGGCTCATTGTCTCCATTTATCCAAACTAGGTAACATAGCTAAAAGAATAACGTGTAAAATAATCATGGTGCTGTAGCATAATTTTAAAGAAAAGAGCAAATATCTTCTTTAAGTATGACCTTAAGTGCTTAAATTGTCAGGAATTTTTAAAGCGTTTTGTTCTTTCTAAAGATTCTTTTTGCTCTTTCTAGAGCATGGAATACCCACATCAGTCGACTTTATAGGTTGTGACCCTGCTCATATGGTGGCATCTTTTAACACTGGCAGCACAGTCATCTATGATTTAGAAACATCCCAGTCAGTGGTAATGTTTTCATCACAAGTAGAATCTGGTAAGTAGAGCTCTTCTGTAATAAATACACATCTTGAATGAGGTACCTGTTGCATCATTATGGTACCTCATTGCATGGTGTAATAAATGAAGAAATTTTACTCCTCTGCTGCATCATTCAGTTTGAAAGATGGTTAAATGCTTGGAACAAACACTGTGGAAAGGTGTTCTAACTCCTCTACTCTGCTCTTGTGAAACCCTGCCTGGAGTGCTGCCTCCATCTCTGGGGCCCCAGCATAAGGACACAGACCTGTTAGACTGTGAGTCCAGAGCAAGGCCATGAAGATGATCCCAGAGCTGGAGCACCTTTCCTGTGAAGACAGGCTGAAAGGGTTGGGGTTGTTCAGTCTGGAGAGGGTTCTTGGGAGATATTACTGTGATCTTCCTATACCTAAAGGAGCCAGAAACTTGGAGAGGATCTTGTTTGTACAAGGCCATGTGGTGACATGGGGGAATGGCGTCAAACTGAAAGAGAGTAGGTTTAGATTAGATATTAGGAAGAAGTTCTTTACTGTGAGAGTGGTGAGACTGGCACAGGTAGCTCAGAGAAATTTGGGATCCTTCATCCCTGGGAAATGTTCTAGGCTGAATGTGGCTTAAAACAACCAGATTTGGTGGATGGTGGACCTGCTTGTGGCAGGAGGGATTGGAACTAGGTTATGTTAAAGGTCCCTCCCACTCAAGCCATTTTATGATTCTGTTAGCAGGATTTGGAAGTAGTTAGAGGTAGTGAAAGCAACAGTTACTGTTCTCTAAGATTTCTTAAGATTCAGTTTTCTGATTTGTATATGAAACCACAGTTTTCATTATATAGGCTTGACATGGACGATATTAAGTGGGTGAATAATAGGTGAATTAAACAGAATATTTAATTCAGTGTAGAATTCTGCACAGGTTGGGATTAAACACACTTTCTGGTAGAACTTTGTAGAAATCCTGTTGCTGCAAATAAAGTGTTACAGAGAGGTAGCTCATCAAGAATTAATTGCATGTATTTGATGAAACTCCTTATGGAGGACTCTTTTTGTGACACTCCTCAAGTGATTCGTAAGGAAAACCTCCAGTTTCTGTTCATTCCTTTCTAGAAAATGTGATTTAAAAGAATAGTGCAAGGGGAGAATCTGCTTCTCCCCTCTAAGTAGTGTAGTTTACTTTAATAATTAAACTTACACACTTCAACACAGGTTATAAAACTGTGTGAAAGCTATCTTATAAATACCTTCTGCAAAGCCTGACATTGAAGTGAGAAGGAACATCACGATTTGGAGAACTACCTTTTCTAGTTTGAAGAGAGACTTTTAAATGGTTTTAAGAAAAATTAAGCACAGAAATTAAGATACCAAGATAGTTTTTTAAAGAGAATATCCTGTAGACTTCTAAAGAGATTTTAGCCATTCATTGTTTAAGTTGAAGTCACAAATGTATCTGACAGAATCTAAGTGTGTTAGGGTGACTTCAGTTTCTTGGATTCTCTGGTCTAGTAGAAGATGTCCGTTCCAACCCAAACCACTCTGTGCTTCTGTCTTCCCCCCAGACTAAATATTTTTTGATGCAGAGGTGTAAGAGCTGTGTGCTAAACATGCATTACTCATGCTACAGTTTGTTTCCACTTGGCTAGTGCTGCCCTGCAGTACTTGCTGGGTTTTATCTCTCAATAATCTTTCATGGGTGAAAACTACTTGTAAGCTTTAACCTTACAGTACCATGGCTAGAGTCTACCTCACTTTGCCCCATCCTGTGAAGCAAGAAGCTTTATTTCTTAGGAGATCCATTGGTCCTAAGATAATACTTACATAATGTTAAATAATATGCTAATCTTAAGTGTAATGCTAAAATACTGTCATTTTAACTTTAACATTTTCTTTAAGGCAGATGAATATTCTTTTATTTTATTTTCAGGTGTACAATCAAATAATCATATTAACAAGGTAGTAAGTCATCCCACACTTCCTGTAACTATTACAGCACATGAAGATAGACACATCAAATTTTTTGACAACAAAACGGGTAAGGATAAAGAGAACCTAATTTGTATGTATGAATATGTTTTAAAAAATCTGGATGATGTAGGGAGAATCCATTTGTAGAAAACGTACTACTGATTTAGTCTTACGTAAAACAGAACTTTTGGTATTTCTAAGATTAAACCTTTTCAGCACCCTCTCTGTGAAACAGTGATACCTGTTGCAATTGTGACTTCAGAAGTCGGAACACACTCTCAAAACAGGCAGAGATAGTTATGAGGGACAAGAAAGTGGTCTTTAATTTAAAGCTTTCCTGATTTATAGAATAGGTCTGCTTTCATTTCCATGCTTTTAACTCTAAGCATGTGTCAGTTATGTCTTTCAATTCTTAGTAGTAAAAAAGATCACTTAGTACCTATTAGGGCAAGAAATATCCCTAAATTCATTGTGGTAATGAAATCCTAAGGTTTATAAAATAGAAAAGGATCTGGAAGAAAGAGGGTAAGGAAGGCTATAGGAGAAAGCTGCACTGTCTGTTGTGACAAAAACATTAAAATAATTGTAAGGACAAACTTCTTATTTGTGAAATTACCTGTCACTTCCTACATGTTACCTATCAAAGTTGGAAGGAAAATAAATCAAACTCACTTTAAATAAGCATGTGCAAAACACCTGTTTGAAGTGTGTTTGGTTTGGTCCCAGTAGGAGATGGCAAACCCCAGTAGATTCCTGGGGTTTTTGTTTTCTAAAGCAAAAAGCTGGACATTTTTTCTACTTTGCACCTGCCATGAATGTATATATTTGAATTGTGGTCATTAAATGCGTTACACTGATGTTGCTGAAATTAAGATTTATTACTTCAAAGAAACAAAGAATAAGGAAAAAAAAATCTGCATGAAGAAATAATTGGGTCAAAGACAGGAATCAGAGGGTAGAAGTAAATGGTCTGTTTGTGGAATAAAGTATCTGTGGGTCTGGAGTGATCAGCAGTATTTCAGCATAGTGAGTCATCTGAACAGGGAGCAGTATATTGGCAGTTAAATGACATTCAGTAATTCAGGTTATTAAACATGAAGGCTGACAAAGAACTGGAGACCTTAAAAGACATAAAAGCAGGCAAATTAAATTCCATGTGGATAAATGTGAAATTATACATGTAAGGAAAAACAAACATTGTAGTATAAAATAATAATCACTAGGCCAACTGTTCTTATTTAAAGTAAAACCTCAGAGTTATAATAAGAGGTTAGATAAAAATACTACTTTGTTTCTTAGCAGTCAGAAATGCCCATTAGGAGGGAAAGGAATAAAAGGCAAAAGGGAACATTTTTCATACCTTTGCATGAATACTTTGAATGAAATCTCCCTTACCTCAAAGGGGATATAGCCAAGTTAATATGTTTCAGACATGATCAAAGATCTTCAGTAGCTTTTAGCTTCTTCAGGAAGAATCTTAGAAACTGAATAGTCTGAGATTCTTCAGGAAGAAGAGCAACTGAACAAAGCTGATTTATGTTCTTCATGTTGGTCATGGTCTTACAGGGATTTATTTGCTCTCTTTTTCAACACATGAACTGAGGTTCAGTTGCTAATCCCCAACAGGTGGCAGACTCAAAACAGGAGAGAGGCAGTGATTCTTCTGTGCAGTTAAACATTCTGCAACTCCTTCCAAAAAACATCATGAGGTGCTAAAAGATGTTATTAGGAGTCCAGGAACAGAAGTCAACTTTTAAAGAAATTAAGAGTACTTGCATTAAGAGTACTTGAATGCAGAGTTAACTGTTCTGGACATAACCAAACAGTTAATTGTTAGAAGCTGGAGAGTATTTTGGGCAAGTATCACCTATAGTTGCCTTATTTTTCTCTCCTAGCAATGACACAGATAGATGGACCATTGATATGGCTCACTAAGTCTCATTTTATAAAACTTCATCAAGACTCTCCTACTAGGGCAGTTATTAGGACATTTAAGAGATAAAGGTTTTCATTTAGTCATTTTAGGTGTTCACTTTTGTTGCTGCCAATAAAGATGCCGAATAGATAAAGATTGTTTACAATGGGAATACCTTTTTGAGAGTTGTGTGTCGTTTGCCCTTATGTTTATACAGGAGTCCGCAGTTGAAACTTTGTAATTTCTAATGGAATAGAATTTTTCAAATATTACTGGAATCTAAATAAGCATATTGTCTTATATTGTGTTTAAGGGGGATGGATTGATGATTTTTAAATAAACAATACTTCACAGGAAATTCACTGTTTATTTTTCTTCTAGGTAAAATGATCCATTCTATGGTTGCTCACTTGGATGCTGTCACAAGCCTAGCTGTAGATCCTAATGGAATCTATTTAATGTCTGGAAGTAAGGGTTTTTTTTTTTTCATATTCTGTATGTTTTTATATAAATTATACATTTATGATGCACTACATTTCTGACAAATATAATCTTTTATTTTTCCTTTCTTTCTTTCCTGAACAGGCCATGATTGTTCCATTAGGTTGTGGAATTTGGACAGCAAGACATGTGTGCAAGAAATAACAGCTCATAGGAAAAAGCTGGATGAATCAATTTATGATGTAGCATTTCATCCATCAAAAGCATATATTGCCAGTGCAGGAGCTGATGCCCTTGCCAAAGTATTTGTGTGACATAGCAGAACAAACCTGCATCATAACAGCAGGTCTGTTTGGACAAAAAAGAGGGAATGCGTCACTGCCATCAATTATAAGGTTACCAATAAGACACTACATCTGATCTGCCTGGGTGAAGGCTCTTAAGTGGGGCAGGTAAAAGTTGGTGAAAAGTCACCACATCCTGAACAATGTCAGGCTCATTCATTTAACTGTAATTACTGTATTTGGGGGGGTGGGGACAAATACAAAAAAGAAAACCAGTATTTGTAGCCTTGACTGGATATGAACTGAGCGTATGTCTGTTCTTTAGGTGTCTTTAAGCAAACGTGGAGTCTGATCTTACAAAAGACTTTTATTTTGGACTCTGTGTGCTGCCTTAGGGTTAGGAATGTGGTGCTCTTGTGGGGGGAAGTGAGCTCCAAGAGTAGCTTTCTTTTCATCTCTTAGTAATCTTCTGTTTATCAGTTGAATGCCACAGATTCCCCTTTTAAACTTTTATTTTGCTTTAAAGAAAAGGAAATTTAACTTAAAATATTTTAGCATTAGTTGCACAAAATGTTTGGATAAAATTCTAGTTTTTATAAGTCTTTTTATATATTTAGCCTGTCACAACAGTGCTCAAGATTGTATTGATAATGTTTTTCTGCATTATAGAACCCTAAAACACAGAGATCTCACTGACCCGCTGCCGTGTAACCACAATCTTCCCTTCTTTTGCCTAATACAGCTCAGCTAAGTCCTTGCTTAAGGATGCTAATTCATCATCATTGCATAACTGTCTTCATAAATAAAGGACTGTAATATGTGTTCAAATGAAACACAGAGGGGTTAACACCCCTAAATGAACTCTTAAAAAAAATTAATCTTGGCATCCTATCACTATGTGATATTTTGTACATCTTACTGTATTTACGAATTTATTTATCAAGGATTACCCATCTTGCTAATGGCCTATTGTTATTTATTTCACTTTTTGTTGGTCTTTATATCCTTTTATGTAGTGTGTTAAAGGGCCCTGTATATCTGTTATGGCACTCTTTGAACAGTCTAAAATAGATGAGAAAATGGGACATTTGATAATTCTAAAGTTGCAAACCAAGAAATTCTTTTTCCTCTGGTTACAAGTACCTGGAGTGGACTTGATTCCAAAAAAACAATCTTGTTTCAGAACCTTTGGAGTGAAAATTATTTTTATTTGCATTTCAAATAGAATACAAAAGTAGTTAATTCAAGATTCATAAATCTGCTGTGTTTTGACTAGTTACTCCCTGCTTTTATTTTATTTTTCAGAAGTGCTTCAGTTTATGGTGTAACTAAAAATTTTGTTTGTGTAATGCATGATTAATACAAAAAAGTATTTTTTCTAGTCTTCCACAAAACTTTTCTGATCAGTTTGCGAGTTTTGATGAGTTTTGTAAGGTTTCTGTTTTACAAACTATGAATCAGCAAATTTTTAAGATTGTACCGCATAGCAAAAGTACAGCTGTTGAAAAATAATGTATATAAAATGCATATAATAAATATTAAATGGTGTACCTGTATGTTACTGTTGGCTACATTATTTTGTGTTGCACAGTTTGAAAGAGTCATTCTACAAATTACTAAATTAGGTCTCAATTTTAGCAAAATGACCATTTGTTTATTATGCTTATAAGCTGCTTTGCTTTTGCAAGATTGTAATAGTTGTCTGGATGTTGAGCAACTGTTCATTTTCAAGCAGCAGTACCCACATATAAGAACATGTTTCCACAATGTTTAAAAAAATTTTACAAGAACAAATCGAAAATTGCTGGTGTGTTCTTACAGCCCTTCTAAGATGATAATCTGTGTTTTTTCATTATCTTTGCATATGAAGTGAATCTGAAGTGATTAGGAGCCAGAAAGGTACTCTGTTTTTATTTCAAACTGCCACTGAATAGTTGTGTTGAATTAAAAAAAAAAAACAATTAATTTCAAAATGCCTAACATTTGCCCATATATTTTACCTCTGTCCATTTCTTTCCAAGTCCTCCTGTAAAGTTGATGAACAAAAAACTAAACTGAAGGTCAACATTTACCTATTCTGTGATGAGTCACTTTGCTCAAAGCTATCAGCAGAAACAGAATACCACAATATGAATATTTTTGTGTAAAATAGTATGTTTAGATATAAGTTAACTAAAGCTAGAACATGTTCCTATAAGTGGTTTAACTGCATTGTTCCATGTAAGTTTCCAGTTTCCAGTTTTCCAGTAAGAATGTATTTCATGCCATCTCATGTCAAGCAAATTAGAACCAAAAAAAAAAAAAAAAAGGAAAGAGGTGCTCATGATAGGCAGTTATATTTTGGAATTAATTTTGTTTTAGTAATAATGTTGCATTGCTTGAAATGTTACAGTAAATTATAATTGTGTAGGAATTGGAGAATTTTGTCCTTTATCATGAAGATTGAGGTGAGGCCTTCCAGTAATTGCTTGTAGGACACTAAGACTTTACTTTTGAAAGTAACATTCAGCTGATTTGCACTTTTTGTTCTTTCCAGTCTAAAGCATTCAACTAATCAACAGACAAGAGAGTATTTGAATTTTATTGGAAGTAATTTAATAATCGCCTTTTCTGAAGCCAAACATTGTTTCTGGCAGCTTTTCCAGACTGCTGCATTTTAATGCTTAAATAAAATGTGATTGTTTAATAAACATTACCATGCATAACATTTACCTTTTTTTTAATTGTATTAAAATTGAAATGATAAAAACCGAAATATTTGCTTATTTTCCTTAATTGAAATCTTAACGATCATCTCAGTTCACTAATGCATAGTGGATCAAGTGCTGTAGTGAGGCATCAGTTATTGAATATTACCAATAATTTCTAATACCTCTTAGTTTATTTATTGTGGGGTGTACCATGCTGAAACCTTTATTTGTTGGGTTTGAGTTATTGAAAATGGAAAAGCTATAGTACTGGTGATGGGGAAAGATGAAAGATGATAGTGCTCAAAGAAATGGTTTTATTTAGCAAAACCACCTCAGCTTATGAAAGGATTTACTTCCCTTTTGTGAGACCCAAAGGACTGGTGCTCAGAACCCGAATGGAAAGATATCTGAATGTGTTTAATAATACCTGTAGCATTTAGGGTGTGATTGATAGGTCTGTGTTAACAGACTTAGTCTTCATCTTGGTTTTTATTGTGGGAACTGTTTTAAGCAGATCAGTGGTGACTGTAGTTCACTCCAGCATAAACAGTAGTATGCTGTCCACATAAATAATGAATACACATGAAAAAGAATGTAACAAGGCCTGGTCAAGAATCTTCCATAATTTAGAAGTACTAAGGACAAATTTATTTGCCAGGAGAAAATTGGTAGGTTTTCCAAGTGGAAAAACTGGACTTGAAGTTGCACTATCAGTGGCCATGTGTTTCACATATTGTATGCTAATTTATTTTGAAACTGATAGCACGCTCTGTCCAGGCATGCTCTTCTTATTATGTGCTTTAATTTACTTTGGAACTGATTACACTCTGCTCCAACACTTCCCATCTCGCATCAGTGGAAAGCCCCTTGCTCACACAGTGCTGACTCCTTGCATTTTTGTTCTGTTTGGTTTCATAGACGCGTAGAAAGGCCTGGGATGGAAGGGACATTGAAAATCATCTAGTTCAAGCCTGTACCCCCAACATGGACATGAGCAGCTTCCACGAAAAAGGTTTTTAATGGCCCCATCCAGGCTGGCTTTCAACACTTCCAGGGATGGGGCATCCACACCTCTGGACAGCCTATGTGCCAGTCAGCCACCACCCTCACAGCAGTAAAGAATTATTTTCTAGTATCCAATTTAACCTGTTCTCTTTGAAGTTTGCAGCAGTTTTCCCTTGTCCTGTCACCACATGCTCTTATAGAAAGTCCCTCTCTGGCTTTCTTACAGGCTCCCTTCAGCTACTGGAAGGCCATCATTAGGTTAGCCCAAAGCCTGCTCTTTTCCAGGTTGGCCAGTCCCAGCACTCTTGAGATTCTTGAGACTCTCCATCCCTCTGATCATCTTGGTGGCGGCCCTCCTCTGGAGTCACTGCAGCAGCTCCATGTCCCTCCTGTGCTGGCAGCCAGAGCTGGTGCAGCCCTGCAGTGGCTCTCAGCAGAGCAGGGCAGAGGGGCAGAATCCCCTCCCTGGCCCTGCTGCCCACGCTGCTCTGGATGCAGCCCAGGACACGTTTGGCTCTCTGGGCTGGCAGTGCCCATGGTGCCTCATGTGCAGCCTCTCAGGCAGCAGCGCCCCCAAGTCCCTCTGGGCAGGGCTGCCCTGGGGCTGTTCATGCCCAGCCTGTGCTGAGACTGGGGCTTGCCCCAACCCAGGAGCAGCACCAGCACCTGAGGTTTAACCTCTTGTTAAAACTCAAGAGGTTCCCATGGGCCCACTTCTCCAGCTTCTCCAGGTCCCTCTGGCTGGTATCCCATCCCTCAGGTGTGTTGAGCACATCACTCAGTTTGTCACTGCAGTGCATGAGTGAGTGTGTGTATACATCTATATATATATATATATATGCACACACACACACACACACATGTACTTATGTTCTGCCTCTAAGGACTTTTAAAAAAAGAAATAACAAAAGCAGATGGCTTCAGAATTGTTTTGAAATGCTACTTCTGAGATAAGCAAGAGTGTTTGAGTGTTCCATTTTCAAACTTGCTCTGTTGGTACTTTGAGAATATACACCCTTGAGTCTTATGCAGATTAAATTGGTAACAGATTTTTAAAAATAAGTAGTTCAAGCTACAACAACTTTAAAATGTCATAAAAATGCATTGGTTTGTTTTTAACTTTTAATATAGAAATGTACTTTGAGTTGATAATATAAAACAGCAGCCTTTCTTTTTAGTCCTCCCTGTTACCTCCTTCTCCTGGAAGATCATGTCATGTTCCAGGTGACTGGAGTTGAGAGGATGACTTCATAAGCTCGGTGCAGTCTTGTGGCACACCTACAATGGGTGGAGGGAGCTGCTGGGGCCAACCAGGCTGTGATGGCCACTTCTGGCTGGGCACAGAGCAGGGCTGCAGGAGCCCCTCAGCAAGCTGTGCAGAGGTAGGGCAGGAGAGGTTTTGCCCTCTGTGCCTTCAGACACCATGGTGTTGGCAGAGGGAGAGCTGCTCATTTGTCAACTGTTGGTCACATATCCTTGAGGTGTTCCCTGAGGCTTGTCTCCATCTTACCTTGGCTTGCCATGTGGCTGTTGGGAAGCTGTCATTGATCCTGGTGTGCCTGGAGTGACCATCTGGGCACTTCTCAGACCATGCCTGATGGCTGCTGGGGTTTTGCTCATGCACAGCAGCTGGCCAAGGAGATGTGGTTTTCCTTTATGAAAGGAGGGCTGTCCAAGGTGATGATATTCTTCAGTGACTTTGTGGTGACTGGCCTCATTGCCTTTGTTAAGCACCTTTTTTTCTATTGTTTCAGGTGTCTTCCTAGTTACTCTTTTGTACCTTGAAATGGATGGGTATCTGTTTTTTTCATTTGTGGGCAGCTGGAGGCGGGGGCTTAAAAGCAAAAGCTCTTGGAAGGGCCTGCAGCTGCTCTGCATGCACTGGTGCTGTGTTGGAGTCTGAATCATGGCTCTGTCTTATGTGCCCTGTGCTTTTGGTGGATTGGCTGGTAGCCTGAGGTTTTTCCCTCTGCTGGAGTTTTCTGGTGTTAGAAATACTATTACACCTTAACAATAGCAAGTCTTTTTAAAATACTGACACATCCTCATTACTAGGGTAGATGTTGGCAAAACCAGGAGCTGTGTGTTGGCTTCCTGAATTACTGGTGTGACTCTCTTGCCTGAGATAACCCAGGTGACTGACTCTGCTAGTCTTAATAAACAGTTTTCTGTAAAGATTTATCTGACAGCTATACAGAAGAATTTCTTAGCAGCGAGAAATATTTTCCCCAGTTTGACTGACCTAACACCTGACAGTTTCCATGGTACAAATGCATTATATTCTGTCAGAAACCTTTTTTTTGGCAGATATTTGGGTTTAACAGAAGCAACTGATCTTGGTCACTTTCTCCTAATTGTTTGTGTTAGTCTGGTCTCTGTTCTCTTTTGAGCAAATCTGACCATCGGGGAGTAAATTCCTTGTTGATATATTTGCTACCAACGTGCTGTGCCAGACAGGTCTGGGTTTTTTCCTAAACTGGCTCCTAGTCCTCACCAGAATTAGTTCAACAAGTTTGTGTATCTCACCTAATTTAGAGTGTTTAGATGAGAGAAAACTGTTTTTGCATCTGCCTTTTCTGAACAAGTATTCTTAAAATACCCAAGGGTGTCAACGGAATTTCAGAAACTACATAATAGTGAATTTGCTTTTCATTTGAAAAAAGCACTATTTTGATTATATAGTTTGTTTGATTTGGAACTTATCAAAGCTTTCAAAGTGGTGCTAAGTTAGTAATTTTTGTAGTTTTCCCATCTAATTTAAAGTATTTTCCTAAATCTTGCCTTTTTCTCAATCTTTTGACTTTTTGTTGTCTCTAACTTGTATTATTTGGCAGATAATTGTTTATCGTACTTGTAATCTGATCACATCCACCAGGGCAGAAAAATAGTTTTATATCCCTTTGTTTACATTCTGCCATACTCCAATTGCTGTTAAGTAGTAAAGGCCATATCTGACCTCAGCAAAGGTTGGAAAAGTTTAGTTAACATTTGCTAGCAAAAACAGCAGTGCAGGGTTCCCATGCTGGCGCCTCAGGAACCGGTCCAGTGTGAAGTTCAGCTGTAGGTTCAGTTCTAGCCTGGGGCTGAAGGTCTGTTTGGGCTCCCAGGAGCTGCTTGGCAGCGGGGAGTGATGCTGCCTGCTCCTCCTGCCTGTGGCAAACCCTAACCCTGCCCTTCACAGGCAGCTGCTCTGGGCGTGGAATGCAGAGACAAATAGGACACAATATTTTCTTGTGTATAGATGCAGGTGAATGTAAACAAATCTGTGAGTGATAAAACAATAAATACACTTAATTTCGTGAAAGCAGCTTATGATCAAGGACACTTCACTAACTAGATTTGATTGTTTGAAAGGAAAGGAAATTTTGATCCTAATGAGATTAAATTTAAAATGGTCATTTGTTTCAAAGCAGAGATTAAATCCTGGGATTTAATCATAGGCAGCAAATTTTCAGAACCTATTCTTCATTCAGCTAAAGCTAGAGGCAAAATTTTTGAGGCCAATGAGGGCAGAAGAATGCCCGCTCCAGTTAGTAGACTTATATGACAGACAAGTGGCTCATACTTCAGTTCTAAACTGTTTGCTGGAAGTTTCCATGTGGTTTGTGTCTCTGTTTGGATGACAGGTGGTCACAAGATAGTCAGCCACGTTCTGCTTCCACTTCCCAAAAATACCACTTTTGTTTACTGTCCTAGGGCCAAACCAGAACCATTGATTTTATTAGGCTGTGGATTTAAGTCCCAGTTTCCAGGCAGTTTACTTAAGAATAAAGTTGATTGCCTTTGACAGTGCTCAGGCCTTCTGTGACACTTGCATGGAACAGAGAAGTTTTCTGTCATTTTTGTGGCTTTGATACTTTCTGGAGCTGACTTACTCTTCAAGCTAATGAAAGGAAGGAAACTCTTGACAAAATTGGTGGAGCTATGTAGTGATATTGAGAATTTCCCCATAAGGAAAAAGCAAGGCATAAGCAGTTGTCCCTGCTTTTCTTCAGAACAGGGAAGGTAAAAATTCTGTATTTTATGGGGCCATGCCTGATAGAAGGGAAAGCTCACGTGACAACACTAATATGAAAGGCAAATGGAAGTAATTAAAATATTTATCGGAGAATCTACTGTTCTGATGAGACTATACCAATGTGCCAAAAAATCCAACCCTGTTCTTTCTCTCTTCCCGCTTCAAAATTGCTTTGTAAGTTGTAGAGAATTGTAATTGTTGACTTTTGATGCAAATGATTTTGGCTCGTTTCTGCATAGCTCTTTATTGGCATTGATTTTAAAAGGCATAGTACTTTTAAAGTGACTATTTTCTCCTAAGAATGTTAGGATGGTCTTTCTTTTGGGTTTTTCTTGTTCCTGGCCAATTCAATATTAATAGTTTTGCAGTGATAATAAAAGTTGGTTGACTTCTGAGACCCATTTTGCATTCTGCTTAAGGATATAAAGTAGAAGGCTTTTACTACAAGTTTGCAGGTCTGGCTGCAGTTTACTGGCCTTCAGTCCTAGACTGTATACCTGCTTTTCTTATGTACTGCACTTGGCAGAGCTAGAAATAGCCATGCTGTCAAGAGATGAATACACATGGTAATTCATGGTAAAGAGAGGACCTAAATGCCTAAGATTTGTGCATGGTGCAAAATTTGAGGTGCAGGAAATTTGTAAACAGAATCAGAGACACTGGCCTGAGTTTCCCTGTAAGACTGAGAAAGACATATTGCCGCTGACAAAGGAAGTCATGCTCCTTTCTGTTGTAAAATAGCCTGTGAGTGGAGAGTTTACCCAGGAAAGATCTTGTGGCAGGGAATGCTTCCAGTGCTCAGGCATGTGTCCAAACTAAAGCAAGGCTATAGGTTGTAGCTCTTCTGGAAGTTATCATGTACAAAAAGGGATTTCACTTTATTTAGGACAGCAATTTAATAAAACTAAGTGGGAAGGATGAGTTTTGAATGGTGTAAACTACCATTTAATGTAAAATTCCAAACACCTGCATGGGAGTTACAGTTAAGTACCTAAATTCCTAACCTTTTCTAAATTAAGGAATCCTGACTTTTTTTTTTTTTTAATATATGTTGATGTGATATGTCATCAGGACTGGGATTGCACATCTGAGGCCCCCTGAATCTGAGTACTGCTTAGGGAAATGCAGCATAGAAAATCACAAAAGTGTTTAAGTTGGAAGGGACCTTTTAAAGATCATATAGTCCAGCCCCTTCACAATGGTTTTCATTAGTCTCACAAGAGAACAGAATTGATCTCCTGCAGGCCAAAATCTTGACTGACAGCCCTAGATCTGCAGCAGTTTTTCCCACTGGAATTTGGATAGCTGATGGTAGCTGCAGCTCTCTTCACATTCTTTGTACTGCTTGGTCCAGCAGCATAGAACTGAATCCTTGTGCATGGCTTCACTTACCTTGTTTAACAAACCAGAGCTTCAGCCCTGCCCTGCCCTCTGCCATGCTTTCTACTTACAGCACAGTCCACATCCTTTCCACCCTGCCTTTGGATCTCACCAGGTCTCAATCCTTTTCTGTATCCCACCAATGTTTTTCCCAGATCGAAACTGCTCACAAATGCTTGCTGGCACATAAACATTGTATCTTTAAAAAGTATTTTCTATACTCCCTATCAGAGTGTAATAAGAGTGTATGAAGGGTGCAAGTAACATGGCATCACCACTCCTGAGAAATGGAAATATGTGAAGACTTAGCTCTGCAGTTTTCAGTGTCCCAGAGATGCAAACCTGCTTTTTGTCTGATGAATGATGTGAGTTAAAGCTGCCTATTTCTTTGCAACAGCAAAAGCAAAGTAGGAGAGAAAATGTGATTCTATCAGCCAGCGCACTTCAGATGATTTAACATCACACCTAATGTGAGCAAAACTAAAACTTCAATATTGATTCATTCAAATGAAAATATTTGTAAAAATAATACCCTTATTATTTGAAAATTATTTGGAATTGAAGATCATCCAGTTAGGAAGTACCACATAGAACTTACTCAAGCTAAACTATATGAGGTTCATCATAAAAAGACTTCTGTGTTATGAGATATCAAAACAGACAGCAGCACTCCCAGTTTTCTTGCAATATATATTTCTATAAAAAGTTTATAAACTAAATTAATTGAATTTTTGCACAAAGTTGATATAGCATATGAATTTATACAGCAAAGGCTTAATACTCTTACCTATAAACACATAACAAAATTAGGGATAACAATTGCTAGAAAAATACAAGGAATCTTTGCCATTTAGGTTTAGAGTAATATATAGTCAGTTATAAGTTATTAAAAAGTGCACAGCAAAAGCCCAATGAATACAATCCTTTCTGTGCCACTCCATAACTACTAGAAATTTTACAATCAATAGTGGGGGAGAGGAAAAAAGGGAAACCCCAGACTGATAGGGAAAGTGCTGTTTTGTTTTCTACTATACATTTTATTTGCAAACCCCCTTTATTTATTCAGAATATTTGGAGTATGTTATTCACACCAGGACACTGGAATAACTTGGTGAATATCACATCATTTTAGCCATATATGTGTGCATATAAATATATCAACATTACTAGGTATGTAATCAAATGAAAGCCTTTTTCAAGAAAACTGTTCTTTTATTTTCAGAAAACCTCACACATCTATAAAGGTGTTTTTACTACCATTATGAAGTTGTTATTCTCTGAACTACTCAATCCAGCTTAATGTGTCTGCCTACTCTCTTCTTTTCTGACCATGTAATCTGATATAAATCCATTAGGTTTAAAGGTTTGAGATACCTCTGGACTTGAATTTGAATGTTCTCAGTTCCCACTGTGTGGTCTTATTTAATCTCTTGGCCCAAGATTCCTGTCTCTAACTGTCTGGCCAACAACAACTTTGTCAAATCAAGACAATACAAGGCAGCAGACAGGAAATATCCGGTTGTCAGTTTTATTTGGAATATCACTGTTGACTTCAGTGGTGCAGAAAGCAGCAGTAGTAGCTAATATATTAGGATCCAGATTCTCTACTGTGCCTTAAATGCCTTTAAAATTCTGTGCTAAAAGAACCAACCAAATAGATCCACAGAAATCTGTGGGTAGAAGTTAAATGACTTTTGATATAAAATTTGCCAACCAGATCCAACAAAACCCCAACTAGTGAGAATAGACTCTTTCAGCTACAATCTGCCATATCTTTTCTCAAGCTGCCTGGCAGTAATGGATGTTGCACATCAGGAGCACTGAAAGTACTTTGTGTTATCAGCAGAACTCTTTCCAAAGATACAGAATTGTAAGCTACGGAAAGCTTATAGAAGGTAGTACCTTATATTTAAAGATTTTTTTTAACTCCTAAGAAGGTGTTTAGCAAGTGTCAGGAAAAAATGTCAGAGCTGTATTATTTCCTCTCAGCATCTGCTATTCTTAAGTGCATGATATGCAAAGCTTTGAACTTCAGGATGCTATATGCTTGTCCAAAATATTAACTGTTGGCCAAATCCTGCACTTCAGGATCAAGTACAAGCTCACAGAAATCTTTGACTGATTACAGAAAAAAAAGGTAGCCCTTCTTCTTCCTCTGTATTGTGATAGCATATATAAGAATAAAACATCTGTACTTTAGAGGGACCATTTCATTTCAATTTCATGATTTTTAGTTTCAGATAGTAATAGTGAACTGCATATTTTTTTATTGTTTAGAGTCCAAAAAGTCTTTACAGATGCCTCTAATAATATCAGGAACCATCTGCTCCAATCCTGTGAACTCCCTGGTGAAGAAAGTATGAGATTCTCTTGGTTCAGAAGCCATGTCTTTCAGATCATCCAAAGGTGCCCAGGCAACACCAACAGAGAAGACTGTTATTCCTACAAAAAGGAAATAAAAAAAAAAGAGACCATTTTGCCTGCAGATACAAAAAAACCCCAGCCATTTCTACATTAATAAATCAATGTGGATTTGAAAAGCATGTTTCAACACCTGCAATCTGTCAAAGATAATTAGATTTTGCCACTAAATACCAGGAATTAGGTTTGACTCAGGAAAAATCCTGAAGGAAATATGAGGCGTCATAAGAGCTAATGTCTGAGTTGTTCTTGTAGTAACACATAGGATTGTAGCAGTTACAATGTCAGTCTTGAAACATAAGTAACACTGTGTAAAATGGTTTTGAAAGTAAGTTTGGTTCCTTTGTGTATGCTTAGTGCCTTTATATACTCATAGTTCAAGCAGCACCAGCCCAATGAGCTTTTTGGCCACAACTGCTTATTCCCTTCCTAGATGATGGTGGAGCTACTTGGCTCATTATTCTTACTCTGCTGTTTGGGGAAATGAGACTGGGTATATGTTGATCTTTAAGCTGCCATAAGTGAGTCTAGTCATACCTGGATCTGCATTACTGGTTGCTGGGGTTTTTTTCACCCTAATGGAAAATAGTTCCTAGGGGGAGCATTACATTTTGCTGAATTCCAAGTATGATACTTTGCAAACTTTAAAATCTTAACATTTGCAGCACGGCAGAAATAGGATGGATCAACTTCCACCGCTTTTCAAAACACATACTTTACCTGCTTTTTGAGCAGCTGCAGCAGGTCCTCTAACATCATCATAAGACTGACCATCGGTGAGAACGATGAGGAAATTCTTGTTAGGCCCATCTTTCACTGGCCCAAACACGTTCCTGGTGGTGAAGGAGATGGCATCGCCGGTGGCCGTGCCCCCGCTCATGTAGTGGATGCCGCGGATGGCCGACAGGACCTTGTCCTTGGTGACAAAGTCGGTGAAGCCGAACTCGGTCCTCTGGTCGTAGGTGAACTGCACGGCTGCCACCTTGGAGCCGATGTCAGAGATCTCAAAAGCTTTGGCCACGTTGCTCACGAACTCCAGCACGAGGCGGAAGTTGCTCTCTCCGATGCTGCTGGAGCCGTCTATCAGGAAACCGATGTTGACGGAGTTGTAGCAGGTCTTGCTACACAACATCTGCTCGTGTGAGCACAGCTTTTGGACAAGAGGTTTTACATATTTGGTAGTACCAAACCAGGTGGGCATTTGGTAAGAGAAGAAGCCATTGTTTCGACAGACAGCCTGTTTGAAAACATAAAGGGAATGGGTGAATGCCAACTGAGCAGTTCAATGGATAATACTCAGACACCTATGATTTTTCTTTCAAAAGCAGGTTAGAAATGAAGCCTCGTGGCTGGAGCTTAGGATGGGGTTTTGTGTGCTTGTCTTTAAAGAAATTGAAACAGCTGCACTTGAAGTCAATGTAAGCCATAGAGCAGCTTATTTTATCCAGTAATAAAGCCAACCCTGAAAGTTTTCAAATAATTTACCTTTTTTCACAAGAAGTGCAACAATTGAAAATTGTAATTTTGTTTTGTGTATGTGAATAAAGTAATGACACTAAATAGCCAAAGGATTGAAATGTCTGTATTTTTGCTTATACACTGAAAATTATCCTCTGTGTTTTCCCTTTGAACTTGGTGAGACCTTTGGATTTTTAATCTATAATGTGTCACAAACACAGACAGAGTTGAGCAGAAATACAGCTCCCGATCATTCAGAGGAAAATTTCTTTTCCCCTAGCTTCCATCAGATGCACGTGAAGTACAAGGTAACTGAAAAATGGGTTAAATTCAAAATCAGCTCTCCAAATAATCCAGCTAAGATCAAAATGCAGAAGGAGAGGAGAGGCCTCAGCCACTTAAGGTCATGTCTTTCTGTGTCTGTACAGGGACAGACAGTGATAGTACAAGGCAAAGAGATCTCCTAAAATAGGAGAGATCTAGAGTAGATATTAGGAGGAAATTATTTAGAATAGTGGATGCCTCTTCCCCAGAAGTGTTCAAGGCCAAGCCTGAGCCACCTGGTCTATTGGGTGGTGTCCCTGTCCATAGCAAAGGGGTGGGAAATATATAACCTTTAAGGCCCTTTCCAACCTAAACCACTCTATGGTGCTTCTATGGTGCTTCTGCCTTCAATACCTCTGGGGTCAGCAGATAGATATCTTATCTCTAGAAGAAGTAGAGCTTTATTCTGTTTATGCCATTTCTGCTGAAATTAGACACCTACAACCTCCCTGTGGAAAATTACTGATTTTCTCACTGCAGAGTAAGTAAAGACAGACTGAGCAGAAAGCTCATGTGAGAGTAGTGATTGGTGTTTGAATTCCTGCTCTAACTCAAAAGGAACAAGATCCAAAACTCTGCTTACAAGATCGAAGTCTTGTACACAGGCTTGCTAGGATGTGTTTTTCCATAATTTCTGTCCTCTTGGTAGTGAAAGTAAGCAATTAATTATCCACAGAGCTGGTAAGAAATAAGCACCTCCCTGTCTGCCCTTTTGTGAGAGAGAATGTATCACATCAGTATGTCATTGCTTTGGCACATTCAGCCATACCTGAGATAGGGGAATTTCCTACCCTGAGAGTCTTCATGCAATTACAAATTCCAGGAGCTGCAACTTGGCCAAGCTTCTGAACTGGGAGTACAATGATACACCTTTGTGTGGCCCCTTTAGCAAGGAAAAATCTCCAGTGTTTCTTTAACCTTCCCTCTGCTCATCTTTTAAATCACTTATGAGCAGAGATAATTTAATGAGCTGGTTTGAGAGAATATTTTTATGTCTATACATCTATGTGAGTTATTGTATATACATGTATTAGTTCATTAGAATTTTACTGTAAATTCTCCAGAATTATATTCATGATTGAAAACCAAATAATGACATTCTTTCTTACTTTGTCCACAAAGCCAATGTCTTGTACCATTCCCAGCTCCTCTGTTGTGGGTTTTGCTACAGACACAATGAACACATTGACTCCAAATTCTCTGGCCACTATGCCAGCTTCTTCTAGATCATCTGAGGGCCAGCCATCCAGGAACACTACAATGATCTTGGGAATTCCCTTCCGTGCTCCATTTTCCAAAGAGAAGAATTTCTGAGCTGTGTACTTCAAAGCTTTGCCTTGGTTTGAACAGGAAAAGAACAAGAAGAAATAATGCATACAGTGATGGTACATTCTGGGATCAGCTTTCCATCTGAAATTGTGCAGGATTTATGTCATAACTACAGGACTAAGCCAGTGTAGCATTGAATGGGTGCCCCAGGAAATTTGATAATAATGAAGTTTGGGCAACCTCCAAGTTAAAAACTAATGACATCAAATCAACACCCCTCCCCTCACCAAAAAACCCCACAGATAAAGCTGAGGTGGAATTCCCTGAGATTTTTTTTTGCTCATGGGTCTAGTTTCCTACTAGGAAGTAGGTATATTAGTAACTGCCAAATGGATTGGAAGGAAGAAAGTACCTAACTTTAGCTTGTGAAATGCAACATAATTAGATGCTTAGTTTCAATATCTGGCTGGTTTTGTCTGTGATAATTATTTTTTTTTTCAGATTAGCCGGTAGGGACTGAGTTTTGGATTTGTGTGGGAAACTGTGTTGACAGTAGGGGGATGTTTTGTTATTGGTGACAGCTCTTGCACAGTGCCAAGGCCTTTCCTGCCTCCTGTGCCACCCTGCCAGTGAGAAGGCTGGGGGTGCAGAGGCAGGAGAGCTGGCCCCAGGCTGGCCACAGGGATATTCCACACCATGTATGTCATGGGCAGCATGTGAAGGTGTGGGAAGGAGAACAAAGGAGAGGGGACATTTGGGGTGTTGGCATGAGCTGCTAGGTGAGCTGGAGCCCTGCTTTCCTGGGGATGGCTGAACACCTACCTACCCATGGGACATGGTGAATTATTTCCTTGCTTTGCTGTGCTTATGTGAGTGGCTTTTGGTTTCCCTAATAAATTGTCTATCAATCTCCAAATTTTCTCATTTTCTTCTTCCCAATTCTCCCCCCATCCCACTGGGGCAAAGTGAGCCAGCAGCTGCATGGGGCTTGGTTGCTGGCTGGGGCTAAACCATGATGTCTTCTCACCACCACTCACTCCTTACTCCTACTCTAACTCTTTAATCAGCCACCCAACAAGAAAGAAACACTAAGCCTTTTATGAATTTGTCCCAAGATATCATTCTGTTACTAGTGAAAAGTCAATTACTGTTAAAATGCAGGAAGATTTATACAAGTATAAACACTTGTACTCTAATTAAATGTGTAATAAGCATGCCTAACTTCTAGAAATTAAATGTGAGATGTGAAAATGTTCTAGTGGAACATCACTGAACCTGATTAAGGTAAGTGTGGCATCTAAAACACTTCTTGACCTATGTGAATTATAGGAACTTCAACATTTACACACACATACATATACATATATATAAAAAAAACACATAAAGAAGTAATTTCTGTTTTAGGGGGAATATGAGCTCACCTGTATTGGAATTGCCTCCTCTGAAGCCTAATTCTTTTATTGCAAACAAAACTTCTTTTGTAGCAGTAAAGTTTTTCAGATAGAATTCAATTTTTGGATGTTCACTGTGGAAAAACAAAACAGAGTAATAAGGTTCACTTTTCATACTGGCATTAGCAAGCTAAAACACACTTGGAATAGTTTTGCTCATGATAATATATATTCTTCTCTGGATTTCAATAATAAAATGTAAGTGTGCTTCTTGCTTAGTAAGTCTTGCAATCCTTAGGAAGAGGAATTATCTGCCTGAATGGATAAATTAAGGACAGCCTGATTCTCAAGCTTATCAAACGGATGATAGCATTAGGTTGAAAATACATAAAGAAAAAAATTGAACATGCCAGACATTAAACTAAAGGAATCTGTGTAACTTAAGATTGGCAGGTTTTCTACTATTTGTATGACAAATACCTTCCTTATAAAAAATTCCTGCAAAGTGCAGTTTGAGTGTTTTGATTTGAGAAGTTCAAGATATGCTAGCTACTGACAAAGAGATTAAAGACTTTAAGTATTCTGTCTCTGGATTTCATTTTTAATTTACAGTAGAAAGCAAAAACAAGTGACCAGTTACAAACTGAAAAATATCAGCTGTAATATTTTATCAGTTAAAGAGAAAATATTTATTAAATATTAAGATATAGATCAGGTTTTTATTTTGTACATGCACATAGCCATTAGGGACTATTCTCTCTACAGTATTTAGAAACTGGCATCTCTCCTTTTCAGGCTGTTTCCTGCTGTTCTACCAAGATGAGATGCAAAGCTACAGCAGAGGAGCTGTGAATCATCCAGATTCTCTCTAGTCAAATATGAGAGACAGAAAATGTTCAAATTTGTCATGTCCTGTCACATGCACATCTCATTATAGCACAGAGCAAACAGTGCTATGCCTCAAGAGATTTTTTCCCTTGTCATTCATCAGCCATTATTGAGTGATTTTGTTCTGCAAAAGGAGAAGTGACATCTTAATTGTTTTCTCTTATCAATTACTCCATTATATTTTGTGCAGATCTGTTCTTACCTGGCCTGTACGACCCCAACATGAGGCCCTTCTGTTCCAATCCCCAACATTACAGCTACTTTTCCAACAAAGTTTTTCTGCAAGTTAAACCTACGTTGGCCAATGTTGTAGCTTCCATCAATGAGAAAGGCAATATCAGCTTTACAGTCTGTGAACGTCCAAAATAATTATACTTGTTAACATCAAATAAATGTTAGGATTCTGCTTTGCAAAAATTAAATCTGTGTGTTCTTACCTTTGTTTCCAGCCTTTTTATCAAGAGTCTTCTTAGGTCTTTTACCTTCAGTGAAAAAAACGAGCATGGATCATTTAAGAACAAGATGAATGGACTGAGGTAAACCAGAAAGAGCTCTGAGTAAAGAAATTACTGTGCAATCTATCTGCAGTAGGAATTGTCAACCATTTTAATAATTAAAATTGGGCTACTACTGCTTTGCTCCTTGGAGAATATTCTTTTTCAAATTAAACAGCTTAACCTTCCTTTCTACATGTCTGACTGATTACTGAGTTGTACAAAGCCAGGTTTTGTACAAAGCCAGATTTCTGTACCTCACCTTCCCAAGTGCTACTGTTACTCAGTTAGCAACCCAGCTGTACAATGGAATTTTAATGTTTTGGAAGCAAACCGTGGTTTAAACTGTAAACTAGGTGGTCTATTCACAAACAGCATCAAAGTCCAGTATTTATACAGCACTAACTTTCATAAAAAGGGTTTAATGCAGCATTTTCTGTGGTGAAAAACAACTAAATTTCTGCTATGCATGTCCTGACAGCACTCAGCTGTTCAGCAGTTCTGTAAGAAGGAATGCATTAATTCTGTCTTCTCCATGGCTTAAAAAGAATGAACATCACATGAGCTCATGAACTCTTACCTTCCTCTGTGTTATCTCTATTAGTTTTCAAAAACCATTCAATTTTTTCTTAATTTGCATGAACATTAGCGAGATCAGAATCAATCTCCAAGATTACATACAATTCCTATTTTTTTTTCTGGTGAAAGAGACACTGCAAAACCAGACACTGCAGCTGTTTCCTTCTTCAAAAACAAATGGGTGTCAGCACATTCTCCTGGCCAGGTCCTGCCCAGTGCAGTGCCTCCCTCTGGGGGATGCTCTCCCCTTGCTGCGGGATCACGCACCTGTGGAAGGACGCGCTGTGGACACCGATCGTCCCACGGCTTCCAGGGCTGTGCTCGGGGTACCTGCTGAAATGAGAGCACTTTTACTGCATTTCAGTGCACTCAGATGAAGTTACAAGTGCTTGAAGAATTACTGTACTTGCAATAACCTTTCTTTGCCGTCTGCCATTAGCTACTCCGTGAGTAGGACACGAGCCTAGACAAACCTTTGGTGTAATCCAGTCCTTGTTTTACAGGTAATTAATTTCTGCATTTGAAACAGCAGCTGATGAGTAACTACAGCATAAATACCTGATGAGAGGTTTTGAGCTGTAGTAGCCATTATTTCCAACAGATAAAGAGAGGACTTGATCTGGAGAACTGGATTTCACCTTCACCCTCACCAAAAGCACCTCTAATTTTAAGTGCTTAGCTAGCAACTTGCAGTGAGCACAAGGAATGGAAGTATCTTAGAGATAGTAGGCTGAATTTTAGCTGTGTAAATATAAGAACACATTACAGAGATCTGCTTCACAATTTTTCTATACTAGCAAACACCCACTTCAATATTTTTGAAACCACAACAACGCACACAACCAATATGTTCCTGCATATGATTTTATGAGGGTGGTTTAGCTTCACCTGAGTGGCAAGGCATGGCAACTGGCTTGCAATTAGGCAATTAATAATTAACAACTACCTCAACAATGGGGACAGAAACTTCTGGACTAAACCATTACATTGCACTGTAGCTTAATGACCACATCACATGTTAAGTTGATGTTATTACTATTTTTGGAGGGTCAGTTTTCTCTTTGCATGGAATGTTGCACAAGGTATTTGAAGGGCCTGACAAAGTGCTGCTCCCTGCACAAATGCAGGCAGAGGGAGAGAAGGGATAAAGCTGAATGGCTGGAAGTGGCAGGAGGACTGGACTGCAGTGGCAGGATCAAAGCACTGACTTTGATCGGCTTAAACTGTAACGGAACTGTCCACTGCCTGTTATCATGTCATTATATTCCAAATAACTGACCCATCTTTGTATCAGCTTCTGTTACAGACTAGCTACTCTAGCTGGAATAGTTTGTCTTCAGGTAATTGAGGAAAAAGTTAAAATAATGAATTAAAAGTGAAACCTTCTGTTGCTAAACAATCACTCTCTTAATGCATACAGAAGCACTGAGGAAGTGTCCCATGGCTCTGCCAGAGCTTCAAATATAGTTTGCAAAACAGTAAAACAGTAAGTGTGATCCACCTACCAGTCACTGAGAAAGATGAAGCCCATCTAGAGAGCACCTGAGACTGGATGCCATTGGCATTTACAGCAGGGTAGTTTTCCTGTCCTGGGAGAGTCTGCACCCTTACAGCTCCTCCTGTGTTGGTAATCACCCCACTAAGGTCGAAAAAGAGTTGGTATAAATCAGACATTTTAGTCACAAGAAAATGCAATACAGGTAACGCCATCATTAGAATTTTTGTCACCAGCCTTCTCAATCAGCTCTAATAGAGGCAGGCAGTTGTGTTCAGGCTAGAACAATCTTGCCTGAACACTCTATAGAATAGTTTCCTCTAAAAGTCTTTAGGAGAAACTATTCTATAGGGTACCACACAGATTTATTTTAAAAAGTCAGGAAAGCCTAAAATTCTGGCACTTTAATGCAGAACAGTGATGCTTCAGGCCATATCAATTCCTAAGTGACAATAAGAAGATCAGAACTGTCAGATCTCTTATTATTTTTAGAGGTCAAAAGTCAAAGTTGTACTTCTAAGAGGGAGCAAAACTTGATGCCTTGTAGTGTGTGGGCAGGTATAGCTCTGTGGGAGACAAGCAATCATTTCATGACTATTTAAACACAGCAATGTGTGCCTTGGTGTTTGCTTTTTGGTTCTGTTTGGCTTCCTGCTTGAAAAAACAACCTGATTTAACATATTGTGAAAGTAGAATAATCAAGACCAGAGTTTAGAAAGCTTTACATATATTTCTGATAATATGAGATCTGGATATCTATGGTAAAGGCAACTTCCACATGAAATTCTATTTGGAACAGTGTTAAAAGACATTCATTCTTCATGGATGTGACTTGCATTTCTAAATTGAACTATGATTTATACATTTATACATGTGTCTGACTTGCGTGCCATGGCTGCTTTGGTTAAACTGAGCTCAGCAGATTTTCCAGGAGCAGCTTTCACTTCCCTACTTATTATGTTATATGCTACTGCCAGTGCTGCTTAACAGGGGCTTTATGTAAAAGCTGCTAGTCCATTCTCTTGCCAAACTTGTTAATAACAACCTGTAATTTATTCCTAAATCGTGTTTTTCACTCAAAAATGGACACAAACAGAAAAGCAAATACACACAAGGCAGTAATCCTGTACCTCACTGCACAACAGCTTGTGAAGGAAAGTGTACCAGTCAAGAGTAGCAGAAAGATCTTATAAAATACAGGACTAAAACACACTTAAAAATCAGCTAAAACACACTTAAAAATCTGAACTGAATTGAGATAAAAACTTTGCAGTTAATGTGTGATTTAAGATCCCCATGCAAGAAGCATTTCTTTGCACTATTGGAGAAAGAGATATGGGGTGTTGCTGAGTTTTGAATTAATTTTTCAAGGACTCTACACATCAAAACTGATGCCTAGACCACAAAGAGTCTTCTGGCCATGGGAGGTGATCCTTATAGATGTAACTGCAGACAGTTTATCCTCAGGGACTTTAGGCAAATGACTGAATTGCCTGAATTCCCATCTTTCCTTCCTACTATCACCATCTGCAAACTCCTTCCAAATAATCAGCCTTTCTCCATTACCCCAAGAATTATCCTCCTCATCTCCAAACTGGTGTTCTGCTGCTGCCTGATTGCCATCAATCACTGATTTGGAGCCACTCAGGATTTCATGCCAGCATCCTCTGGACCCCTAAGCTGTGTTCCTTCTTTCTTTCTTTCCTTTCTTTCTCTGCACTCCTATTGCTTTTGGCAGGAAAGAAGTTCAGCAGCAGAAGCAGGCACAATACCAAAATTTCCTGGGACCTACAGCAGCTCAGAAATCCCTGTGACCAGATAACATTTTTGTCAATATTCTTGTAGCAAACACTGGGGCAGCTCAGTGCCACTTGTCTTTATGGGCACTTTGTGGCCAGCTGGGTAATACCATGATATGCTTTTGTTAGACTGGAGTTCTGGGACCCCAGTGCTTAATGAGGACTGGTTTCACCCTTTGAAGTTAGGAAGGTTATAAAAAAATTTACATGCCTATTGAACATCTAAATGCTACCACATTGGGCTAGGTCTCCATTTAGTGGAATTGGCACTGGAGCAGAACTGCACAAGCTGAGAACCTAGTCCTTCATTTGACCTTCTGATTATTAATCCAATTAATCACTCAGTGGTAGATTTAACTCAGTTCTTCATGCCTACATAGAGTCAGCCTGGTAGGAGGTTCTCTATTCTTCCCTCAACAAATAAATCTTTTATCCTTCTGCCCAGAAAAAGAATAATATTAAATAAATATTTTGTTTCCTGAGAGTAATTACACACAAAATGAGAGAAAAAGCCAAATATAACAAGCTAAAACAGGCAGAAAGATTATTCATCTGTAGTACACAGAATTATTTGTAGCTGAATTCTGCTAAATTATTTTCATGTATTACATAGCATTTTCTTGCATTAATAACTGCCTCAAAGTAATGGAACTACTCACAGGACTAAGCACTATTTGATTTATATAAAATTAAGGAATCCAGCCTCAATGTAGACCAAGGATGCAAACTGAAGTGTATGTACAAAATTTTCAAAGCACAGACCTACTTACATCACAACAATGGCAAACTCCAATCACCTATTGGGAATGGCTTCTTGAAGTTTCCTTCATGCCAATATGGATTTTAGACATTGCAACACAGGGCAAGAAGGAGCAAGTATCTTCTATGTTTTTGTTGGATTTTGCAGCCTGCACTGAATTTAGCTGAGAACTAAGCAGCTATTGTCTCTTCTCCATGCATCAATCCTTTTTGGCCAGGACTAGTTATGGCTGTTAAGAGTTGCAGTAAAGCCACCAAAACATTCTCATGTAGCAAATTCTGTTCTGACATTGAAAGGCCAGCAGAACTAATAGCCCCCAACTTAAAGGCAGTCTTCAGAAACAGCAGTTCTCCTAAACAGATAATTTTTCACCTTTAGCCTGCTTTTTCAAAACCCCTTACTACAGTCTACCACACTCAAAGACTTGAACTAGATTAATTTAAATCCAATCTAGAAGACAGATTACAAAGGTGAGTATATTTTAATCTCCTTGTCACTATTAGAGCCCTCATTATTCTCACAATGTCTGTGAAGAGAGACTGTTGGATGCAGGATGTACAGAAAGGGTTGCATATTTCACCAGAAGTACAATTTATATTGACTCTTACTATGGAAAAGCATGGATTTTTCTACAGCCTCATGTTCCTGGAGGACAGTAGTACACATGGTTTATAAGGTACAAACTTCAGTGAAGAGCTAAGTGATTTATCATTAAAAGACTACGCAAATCATGAAAGAAATATGCCTCTGCCATTTCCTGTGCCTCCTCCTTTGTAGAAGTATTTCCCAGCTGTGACAGAACTGAGCCCCAGCAGCTTTAGTGGTGGGACTGTGCTAGCAGTCAGTCACTGACAGCCTGGCATGGGGGGTTCCAGAATGCTGCCTGCTTGGACTGTCAGGAACCTCTGTGTCTTTTTAAAACGTTCAAGTCTTTAATCTCTTTAGAACAAGGTCTTGACAGCAAGAGCTTTTTTCTCTTTAAAGACATCTTTGGCAAGAAATAGAATGTTAAAATAAATGGCTACATCACTAAATATAAACATTGTCTCAGGAAAAATAAAAAAGACAATGGAAAGAAATCTCTGTTTTCCTCAGTTCACAAGAAAAACAATTTAAAAAGCAAATCCAAAGTCACTACCTGCATTCAATCTAGACATTCTTCACAAAATTTTTTTATATTCCTCAGCTAGGAAGAGTGAAGAATCGAAGAGTAATTTTTTTAAACCCCCATGAAGACTCTTAAAACACACTAAATGGAGATCTTAATTCTTTTTACAGAAGCATCAGAAGGAAGGCTGTCTAATAATAAAATACACATGGAAACATGTAAACTTAAGAGAAACTCTACAGCTTTAAAAACAAACAGAAACATATCCCCATGATACCTCCCAAGCACCTTCTAAGTCCTTTTATAGTACCTTAGCCCCTAGGTTCTTTTACAGCATTTGAGAAGTTCCAGAGTTTCTACTCAAAACCCCTCCTTAAGTCAATTTTTTCTTTTTAAAAAACAGTTCATTTTAGTTTACCAAGGAGTTTAAATACTGTATAATAAGCCCAAGTTTTGAAAATCTTGTTAAAAGTTATAAAATTTTAATTGACACTTTAAATAAGATTCTAGATAGTAATGACAGCTTCCTAAATATTACTTAAAATGCTTGGCGTGGTTTTTTTTTACAGCATTTAAAGTGTCCAGCAAGGAATGTTAACTCAAAAAGGTTTTATTTTCCTCATTTATCTTCTAGCAATTTAAATTTCTGTAAAATTTTAAGTTTATAGTTGTGGTTGTTTTAACATAAAAATTACTCTGATAGCTTGATGCTAAAAAACTTGCAACCACTTTTCCTCTACTTCTTTTAAACAGTTTGTTTGACACAAGATTTTAAGAAAATCAGAAAATGAATCTGCTTTTATTCTTCAATTAGTTACTGTTTATATTGTATCCTTCCATATCTACTAGTGATACAAGTGATTTTACAGTGAAAGGCCACCTGTGGACAATGCTGGGCCGTGTCAGAGAAAGTTGACAAAGCATTTTGGAGGAACACTCAAGCACAACTCAGATAACTTGCAAGCTGCACAGACATTCTTTTTATTTTTCCTCGTTTTCTCTTCTCCCAGTGACATTCCTATTGAGTTAATAGGACCCAAAGTCCAGAGAGATTTCTGCTATGATGGCACCAAAACGCCAAGACTTGTAAGTGTGGCAGAGACTTTATAAACTCACTTAGCACATGGATTAGCAATGATCTGACTTACCTGTGTATGGCAGCTCCACAGACGCTCGAAAGAGAGGCATAAACTCCATCCCCAAAGACATAGAACTGCCACAGAGGACAGTTTGCTGGGCAAAGGACATCTTCTGTCCCCTTTCTAAGGTCAAGTCCTCTTGTAAAGCATGTGATAGCAGTAGAAGCTAAAGAGAAAAGAAGAACTTTTGACCTGAAAATCTTAAGGGTTTTTTGTTGTTGGGATTTTTTTTTTAATGTCTCTACAGTTTCCAAGTTTAAAGCAATATCTAAACTTGAAACTAACTACAATGTCTATAAAGATGTCTTTGGAGCTTACAAATGTACAGTTATGGCAAGGAAACACACACTTCAAAATTACTTATGGGAAAAAAGTGGCAGGAAAAAAACTCCCATGAACAAACAACATTAAAATAGTATCATTAGGAACATTACACAAGGAAAAGCAATCCATTTCTGTAAATTTGCTGCAGAGACAGAAAGGCAAAGGGAAAACTTTTGAGGGCTGACAGACCACACATACAGGTGGCAATTTCCGAGGAAGAAACTAAATCACTCTGACATCCCCACAGAAAACTCCAGCCATAAGATATCTATGAGTCACTTGGGGAATTCTGAATCTTCTCTCCAGTGGCATTCATGGAGCAAGTTGACAGCAGCATTTCCCTTAGCCTCTTGCAATAAATCCTACTGAGGCCAGTGTTAAAAAAAAAAAAAAAAAGAACACACATCTTGTTTCTCCAGTAATACAGTAACATCTAGAACATTGGTATCAAGTCATTACAGTGAAGTTTACATCATTATCATTGTGCAGAGGACTGTCAGATTCAACAGTGATACAAAAGTTATCTATTCAGCTGAGGCACACGCATTTTTTATGTAGAACTCTGCCTTTTTTCAGAAGTTGCTCTCCAGGTTACCATCATTAAGCTTTCACTGTGCTTGCCTGTGTGCAGTGAAGGTATGCAGACACAGATCAACATCAGTACCCAATTTCACTTGGCAAACTGCTGCTTTTTCTTTTGAAAACATTGAGGTCTTTATCTTGCATACCATCCTTCTACTACACAAGATAGCACAGTCCCTTGCTCTGTTGCACAGCAAATTAGAGATTTGGCTTAGATCATTATCAATTCAGCAGCACAAGGGCAACCCATGCCTGCCTGTTTACTCTGAAGTTCCTAAGGCACCTAGAAGGTGCAAGAACCTTTTCTAAATGCGCCTGGAATACTACCTGGGCACAGATGAAAGCTGGCAGAGGCTGGCCAAGGCACCAGGGCATGCACCACAGCATCATATGCCAAGAACTGTATGTTTCAGGGATCAGTGATCTGTCTCTCACCTACTTTTCTGCCCACTATTTTCATTCTCGTTGACTGAATGTGTTTTTTGACCCCAACATATGCTGCTTATAAATGAACTTGGAGCATATGCTGCTCTTCATCAGGGGATGGAAAAGGTGATACCTTCAGCTAATCTCACTGACTTTAGAGCTGAAAAGCAGAAGAGTTGCAGCCAGAAATGCAAAGTGAAACACGTCTGTTCATTCTGACGGTGTGAATTGACCACACATCATCAGCTATGCATGCAATTTTACTCTTAATTATATACAATAGTCATTAATGCTATGCTCAAACAATCTTAAGCTACCTAATCACATCTTCCTGAAAAATCATTGCTGCTATTTTGTACAAATATGGGACTTGTATATGCTGAATCTGCCTATATAGTTCAGACTAAGAAGAAAAGAAAGCAGTAAGCACATTTTTATTTTTCCTTTCTCAAGATAATAAAAACTGTCTATCTAGCAAGAACTAAAGTGATTCAATCTGATTCTCAAGTATTCTAAGAAATAAAGTTTCTTTTAGGTCTTAGTCTTACCTACTCACATCCTAGCCATGCTTAAATCTTATTTAATTGCTGTAAAGACAAAAGATGGAAAAATCAAGCAGAATTGGTGCTTATACCTACAAGCTCCATGATTTCAAGGTCAAAAATGCAATATTATTGGTATAGATTGGTAAAAAACTCTGATTTGCTTTCCTCTTTGAGTCCCCTAATCCTTTTGTGGAAGTTCTACAAGTGTGTTTGCCAATTAATGGGCACTGAACAAGCTGTGTCCACCAAATGGCACTCAGCAAGACCATCAAAATCAAACAGCAGCTGCAAGGCTGGAAATCCTTGGAGGAGCAATTGCAACAAGCACCACTGGCAATATCTGCTCTCACAGCACTGCTTGTGCCTCTCACCCTGCAACATTTTTCCAGCCCCTACAAGTGCAAGACACCACAGGAAGTTCTAACTCCTGTCGTTTCTAATGTAATGTACTTGACTGAGTTCCCTGGCTGGCTGTGCACACAAGGACAGTAATTAGACGTGTCTAGCTAACAAACCCTGCATTGCTTGGAGATCTGTATTTCCCTCATCACCAGGTACTTACTAATTACTGTCATGTGGCAGGCTTTTGCATAGCACAGAAGATGGGGGAGAAAATAATCTTTCTGTGTTTTCCCTGGCAATCAAAACACAGAAATCCATTGTAGCCCAGCCACAGGATTCTGTACTGGCAGCCCAAAGCTGTCATGATCCTTGTCTCAGGCTTCCCAGGGAAGGGTGCACGTTGCTGCTGTGTGAACTGAAGAGCTGACAGGCTGGAGCTAGGGGATTTAGCAGTTCACACCTCAGCTGGATCAGCACTGAGGTAGAAAGACACACTTTGAGGAAAAGAATGCTCTTAATTAAAAGCAAAAATTTCATTTTAGTATTTTCTGTAGGTAGATTCGGTTTTCTCTAAGCCATAACTCTAAAACAGAGACTACACATTAGAACACATTAGAAGTGTTCGGTGAAATATCAAAATGGAAGCAAATCTTTTTGTTGACTACCAAAATTAAGACTTATGATATCAGCTCTGCAGTGGTTTTTGTTCTTCCCTGTTTGTTAATGCATCATCAGCTATCCAACCCACAAAACTTCAATCATTTTGTTGCAAACATGAAAATGATTAATGAGGTCAGAATACTGGAATATATAAAATTGTTCTTTGGCAGCTTACATACTCATAATTCTCACAAATTTCATATATGATATTACTATCAAAATTTAAGAAGTGCTAGTTTTCGTTAGTCTATCCAAGATACTTCAACATGGCAAAAAATGCCAAAGAGCTGTGTCTATATATAAAGTAACTGAGATAAAACCTGTGTGTTTTAATCACTGTAATTGAAGAATGCAAGAGCAGTAGCAGTGGAAGCATTTCTTTCAATACTTATGTGGTGCAATACTCTAAATCCAAGTATTTTTGCAAGGAATAAACATAAGTTTACAATATACAGGAAAGGATTCAGTTCTAGACTCCAACCATTCTGGACTCTGCTGAAGATGTGAGACCTATGCCCTGTTACATTCAGTTAGGCTTTTAGAACCACAATAAAACAACTATCACCCCATCCTGTCAAGAAACACACCCTTCAAACTTCACAGAAACACACTACATCACAATACCCTACAAAAGCAAGGTACAAAGAAAATAAACTGTGATTCTTCCTGATTTAGGCCATATTTAAGGGTAGGGATGAATGTCTTCCATCATTGTTGATTGTTGACCTAAAAAAAAGAAAAAAATAAGCAAAGACTCACTTATCTCTTAAAACAACCATGTTTTCAATCATTCCATCAATTTCTATCTTTTTGGTGCCTCTTGCCATGTACTCCGATTTCGCCATGAATAACTGCCTCTTATGTCAATCTATAAAAGTTGTGACTTAATTTTCAGCAGGAGCCACTGCTTTAAGTTATTCTAGAGGAATAAAACCCATAGGCAAAATCTGATCTTTTCTGATCTTGAAACTTTCATGCGTTGCTTTGTGAAAAGTTTGTTTATGCAAAGGAAAAAAGGAATCCTATTTACCTTATTACAAATTAAAAATAGGGGTTCCTACATGAAAAATAGCCTTATGAGTTGTAATACAGAGAAGTGCGTCCCTATTATGCTTCCTATTATTTGAGTATTTAGGGTATTTTTTTTCAAAATAGAAAGATTTTAGGTCCTTTTTTACTTTGAGGCATCAAACAAGCCTGTTTTTTCTATCTTATGCAAGGAGTATCAACAGTTGGGAAAAAAAAAGACATACTAGTAAACCTATGTTTCATATTTTGGAAAACATATGCACAGATTGCATACTAACTGATGTAACTCTCTAGTACACATCCTGATCTGGACAAGGGCAATGGGATTTAGAGTAACCTGGTCAGGGCAATAGAATTCATTTCAATCTGAGCCCTCTGCCCTTTTCTCACCCATGTAAGGCCCCTTGCCATCACATGGCAGCATCCACCCACCCACAGAGCCCTGTGTGGGGCAGCCAGAACTGCTGCACTTGGCAGCATCTGTATCCATTCCAGCTGAAGCATAAAGAAAGTTTTGAGATGCTCCAAGATCTTCACAAACACTATGAGCCTAAATACAGTAGATTCTTGAGGCAATTAATGCTCTTTCATTACTTTGTGCAACAGAATTGAGGCACTTTTATGCATGCAAATTTCTAGTTCAATAACCAAATGCTGCTGAATTTAGGCTCAGAATAGCGGTAAGAGGGAATATCTTACAAAAATTGTTCACATTAATGATATTTTAGCTGGTTCCAGATACCTTCAGGTTACAGTGTCTTCTCTGGCCCTGAATGAAGCATCCCAGAAAATATTCATTTGTTTCCTGCCAGACTGTCAGCACTTCATGCATAATGCACCTGCAAAGTAAAAAAGGGAAAGGAACTGGGGGGTTAGAGTAGGTTTTCCATTGCTGTGCATTTTCCCCCCTTTTATAGCCATAGCAATTCTGTAACAGATAGCTTTTATCAGTTTAGCACAAAAGAATTTTCCAAATCTTTGATTCACCACAAAATGAGCAGCAAATCCTGATTCCTAATAACTGTGAAATTGTTAACAGCCATTCAGAAAAGCTTGGGGTCACTCACCTCCTGCAGGCCAGGCCTGCCTCTGGAAACATGTTCTTCTGGAGGCTCCTGTCCTCCTTTGGTGGAAGGTTCCACTGAAAGGGGCAGACAAACTGCTCGCGTCCTTCTGTCACACATTTCTCCAACTGCTTCCCGCGGCTCCTGGTTCCCATGGAATTATTCTGGTTCTGGGAGAGCCTGCTCTCCAGCAGCAAGGATGCAGTCCAACACAGGATGCACAACAGGCAGTCCCTGCCATAGCCTGCTAGGCATCCTAAGCGTGTTCCTTCCAGGTTGAAATAACGGCAGGGCAACTTTAAAATGTTTTTAATCGACTCCATGGTCTAAAATATGCCAGAAATCCTCAAATTGCCAAGCACCGTACGAGTGCCTTTATAACACACGCAAACACACTCCCCCTCACTCTTGCCACCGGCACTCCCCTCGATGGGACACTTGTCGCCACGGCGCTGCTTCAGCCCGTGCCAGGGAGGAGTTTTCCCCCCGTCTGGAAGCGTTCCCAGACACGCTCCGTGCCCCTCTGCAGGTTCCCACCGGCCGCTCCGCAAACCCTTCCCGGCCCGGGCTGGGCTCCCGCGCATCGCGGCCAGAGCGCCGGGACAGGGCCGGGCCGGGCCGGGCACGGACGCTCCGAGGGGGAGATTCCCGCGGGATGCGGCGAGGGAACAGCGGCCAACTCACCCGAGCCGTCGCTGCCGCGCACCGCGCCGGAGAGCAGGAAGGCGCCTGCGAACAGACAGGGAGAGGGTCGGGGGCTGCTCCGCGCCCGCCCCGCCGGCCCCGCCGCCGCCCGCCGTACCCACCGAGGAGCAGGGCCGAGAGCCACATGGCGGAGCCGGGCCGAGCCCGCACCGGGGGCAGCGCAAAGCTGAGCCCAGGAGAGCGGCGGAGAGCGGCGTGCCGGCCGGGTCACTGCGCCGTGCCGTGCCGTGCCGTGCCGTGCCCGCACCTCCGCCGAGCCGAACAGCCCTGACAGCCGCCGCTCCCGCTTTAAACCTCGGGCGGGCAGGAGCGCGGGGCGGGCGGAGGGAAGGAGGGCCGGGGCTGGGCAGCTTCGCCGCAGCGGGGCCCGCAGGTGCTGCCGGCCCTCCCCCGCCGCGCCCCCCGCGGCTCTTCCGCTGGGAGCGGCGGGGCGAGGCAGCCGGCTGCGGCAGTGCGCCTCCCCGCTCGCTGACTCGCCCGCTCCGGACCGTGTGAGGATGCTCCCGTGCCCGGGGAAGCGCCTTTGCGGTTTGCATTCCCGCCCCTGCCCGCGCACGCCTGGATATCCCCCGCACCCGCGGGGCTCCAGCACCTGATGGCAGGTGTCTGTACTCCAGATGCCTCGGGAAATGCGGGCGGGGTGTTAGCGACTTCGCCGCAGCCTCTGCCCCTCGCTCGAAGCTGAGGTAGGGTCGGAGCTGTCCTGAGCGCTGCGAGGTGCCGAGAGGTGCCGGGCCCGTCCCGCCCGCCCCGGGCCCGCGGCCGCTTCGTGCGAGGGCCGCACCCGGTGCCGCCGGGCGCTGCCCGGGAAGAAGCGGCGCGTTTGAACCTGAGCGATCATTCGGAGAGATGGAAATGCCCGAACCGGCGTTCCGGGTATCCCGTTTGGTACAAAGGGTTAGCGCAAATGCTGCAGGTGCCTGCCTTTCATTTAAGTAAAACTTAAATTAAATTAAAGGAGGAAAAAAAGCAGCAAAACCAAACAACCACCCCGCTATAAACCAATCAACCAACCGAAAACCAAACCGCTCAAACCAAGCCCCCAGTTTACAGCCCGACCCGTTTCCACAGCCCAGTGCACACACGCCCGTGTGCTGGGAAGCCCCGGCTGGCGCTGATGCGCACTGGGGACAGGTCACTTGGGAATCGTGGGCAGAAGTGCGTGAATTTTAACGACTGCCTAAAAATCGCATTTTGTGGTGGCCGTCAGCATACACTGCTTGATTTCTGCTTGGGATCGCTGCTCCCGAAATGAACTTTTAAATATAACTAAGCCTTCAGACTTCACAGGAATTAGGATTTGCCGGGGCAGAAAATTAAGTGCGGGCGGGCGTTGCAGCCAGCCCTGAGAGCGACCGGCTTTGGGAGGCAGCTGCTCAGGGCAACTCGCTTTAGGGCTTTTTAAAAAAATACTTTTTTTTTCTTCTTAAGGTCGCATAAAAATGCTCTTTGTGAAATATCTCTTCGTATGATTGAAAATAAATATATTTGAGGTCTCTGTGATCCGTTCAGAGATATGTGGCCTTTAAAAGCAAAATAGGAAGCATGACCGGGTAAGTTATTAGTAATTTATTGCTTTTCCGGAGTTTAATTCAAGCAAAGCATAGAACTGGTGAGAACACGATACCCCTTTCCCCCACAGCTTTGATCATCCCAGCAACACATTTTTGCGCTTCCCACACAGGATAAAGGTGGTGATGCTTTCCTCATGACAGGGTCCTCTCCTACGGGTGCATCTCAAATGCA